AAAGCATCGAATATAATTTTTTCTAATTCAGTCTAAAGTACTTCCTTTCTCCCCTCCTCCTTCTCCCATTTCCTTCCCTCTACTCTACTGATCTTTCTCCTATTATAGTTTTTTTAATTATTGTCTTATGGATATGCATGATGGTGAGATATCTCTTCTATGTATTGAAATATTGTTGAGCTCAAGTGTGACTATTTCATGCATGGAGTTAGGTTCACTGTCATCTGGCTGAGTTGTGGGTGTAGCTTAGCAGCAGGATCTGAACCCAGTGATCTTGTAGTATTCCAATCGCTCCCAGCACCTCATAAAGGAAGGGGGAACATGTAATAGCAATACAAGCAACCAGTAATGCAGCTTTAAATGTCTGGTGTCTACTCTAATGTCTACAAATCTAATTGTCACATAAAGAGAGATGATGGGGTCAGCATTTAACATCAGCACCAACAATAGACAATTGTACTAGATCTAACATTAAACAACAAGTGTCAACTGTGTCATACACCTTATTAATAACCACAACAACATTAATAGGGGGGGGTAGAAATTATAGAAACTAAATAGTTCTAACAGATAATAAAATTATAGTTCTTTATAGTTCTAACAGATAATAAAATTATAGTTCTTTAAGTGAAGAAATAATATGGTAGAAAGGCAAGAGAAAGCTTGATGTATTTAAAAAGTGAACAAAGGGAAAACAGAAGAAGTGTAGTAGGTGATGGTTATAAAGAAGGAGGAATAAAAAATACTGAAAGTAATAAAATAAGAAAGGAAGAGGGAATAAGAGGTTTTGCCTATTAATGGGAAAGAAAGTGAAGAAGGAATAATAAGAACAAAAACCAAAGATAAGAACAAACAAATCAAACCAAAATAAACCCACATAAAATTTTACCCCTCCAGAATCAAAACAAGGCTAAATAGCAAACAGGTGAATTTTTAAAAAAAATTAAAATTAAAGAAAAATTACATGTATATATCTTAAATTCTCAGCATAGTGAAAACATTTATATATATAAATACAGAATAGAAGAAATAAAAGTAAAAATTGGAGGAAAATATTTTTAATGATAAATGGAAGGGCTTGTTTCTTCTGGAGTGGTCAAAACTGTTGGAAAGGATGGATGCTCTTAAGCCATTCTTTGTATTTTATATTTTTGTGCTCTGAACCCCTCAGATCAAGGACTGGGGGTTGTTAAATTCGACCTCTTTATGTTTTTCCCCAAGCTGCTAGGTGGTGTGGCCTGGATCCAAAGCTGGTTGTAGTAGTTCTCAGCTTCCTGTCTTACAGAATGTACTCTCCAAATGGAGCTGATGCAGAATTCTAAACCAGGGGCTTGGATTTACTCCTGACTGTCCTTTTGACCTTTCAGGGAGATATTTGAGGTTAATTACACAACCCCTCTTGCTGGACAGATGCTGATCTCTGTTGGACCTATGGGTCTCAGGGCCCTTTGGAAAATTCCACTTTTATAGTGGATCTAACTTTCCACAGTTCTCACTTATTCCACTGCTGTGTGTATAGATTTCCCAGGATCAGAGCACCTGTCTGACTGGTTTCTGGCCTCTTCCTAGCTGCTTGCCCATGCTGCCAGCAACAAAGGAAATTGGAGCCTCTCCATCCTCAGTATCCCTGGCCTGGATTGCCCTGGGCATAATCCTCTGTTCCTGTTTTCAGTTGTGCTGGTCCAGGCTCACTCTGGACCTCATGGCAGAATGGGTGGCAAATGACAAACTGCTGTGTAACCACTTGCAAATGTTTCTCACAACCACTCCACTCATCAGCAAAAGATTCTGATCACTTTTGCTTCTCAGCTTGCTCCACTAGTCTGTTAAGATCAGTCTCCCTCTCTGTCCCACAAGTTCTCCCATGCCACATTTAGTCACAGTTCTTTTCTCTTTCTGCCTGTGTTACCTCTCCCCTCTGCAGTGTGCTGGTGGTGCTCATGCTGGTGTGTCTCTAATGTATTCTTTCTTGTTCTATATGCCAAGGTTCTGAGTTTCTGTGTCTCTGATTATTTTATTGTCTAGTGCTGAATTTAAGTGAATTCCCTCAGTCACCTACCTTGCTGAGAAACAGTACTCTTGCTGCTTGAATCTCAAGCTGTGGAACAGCTGGAAAGTGAACCCTTCCTCTAATCTAACATCTTCTTTCTCTTGTTCTCAAATGGAATTTTCTAGCTAAATCTAAAGGGTTTCTTCTGTAAATTAATTGTAATAACCATTTGTACACTGTTATGGTAGGTTTATTATTATAATTCATTGAGAAGACATGAAACTCTGCATACTGTGTGAAAGATGGGACATGAATGCTGATTTCCATATTGCACTTACTCATCTCTGTAATACATATATAAAAAGAGAGATTCTCCTTACATAAAGTGTGTTTTTAGTGTTTAAAGATACTATATGTAGTTCATCTCCTCTGCAGTTAATCTTCTCAGACACTGGAGGTAAAACTGGCTGGTATTGGATTTATAGAGAATCTACATTGCTAAGGTATTTTTGAGGATCATTCTAATCAAAGGTAAATTTTAGCAGTGATTACAGGAAATGAGCACCATCATAAAATGGGGATCCAGTATAGTCTAATAAAGTTGGAATATATCAGGTCTATCAGATTTTGATGAAACAGTGATAGAAAAGAAATGGCATAGGAATAAATCGGGAATGTTTTCAAATGGTGTACTGAAGGGTTCAACTTTATCTGAAAGGGTCATTTGAGATCTCTGCTTTCTTAAAAGCTTTATTTTAGAGGAATAACTCTCAAGCGATATTCCTATGATTTAACAAGCTGGATTTTAAGTTTTCATTACTGGAATTGAATACTGTGTTTCTTACCTAATTTTGAGGAAAGTATTAGACTAGAACGTTTGCAATTTTATGGTTTTTCTCCTATGATGAAGAAGTAACAAAAGAAATATTCATAGAAAAATTTTAGTTTGGCAGTTGTTTTTTTTTTTTTTTATACTTCAAATTTTCTTTATGTATTCATCTCTCAACAAACAATTAGGTTGTTGCCACAGCTTGGCTATTGTGAATAATGCTGAAATGAACATGGAGATACAGATATTTCTTTGAGATCCTGATTTCATTTTCTTTCAATGTATACCTAGGAGTGGGATTGATGGATCAGACAGTAGTTATGTTCCTAATTTTTTAAGGAACTTCAATACTATTTTCCACAATGACTGTACTGATTTACATTCCCACAGCAATGTATATATAAGGGTTCTCTTTTCTCCACATCCTTGCCAACACTTATCACTTATCTTTTTGGTGACAGCCACCCTAACAGTGTCAGGAGCAGTTGTGTTTTTATGTTGTTTTTGTATACATAGTCATTTTTCTGTCAGCAAATGTGATAGAATTAGACATGTTCATATTTTTTAAATTTTTTTTTTGTTTTAATTAGACATGTTTATATTTCATGGTGAGTTTTATGAAAGACCATTAAGAATTTAAATGAACCCTTTTCTGAATAAATGTGAGTTTTACTGGTAATAATGAAAGACTGGAAATAGGAAAACCAATTGTCTTAATATTTTATTTTTCTAACCTTCTATATGGGGGTACAAATGTCTTTGAACAACCAGCATATTTTTGAGAATTCACTATTTTCTCTTATCAAGAACTTTCTAACGGACTTAGAAATCTTACATAATACAGTCCATCTTCTCAATAACCTTAATTTGATAAATAAAATGTACACGATGTTATAATTTAAAAGTTAAGTGCTAAATTGTCATAAGTATTCATAATAGGAGTAATCATTGAGGCTTCAAGTAATCAAGAAGACTTAGAGCAGGGGAGACTGGCAATGAATCTCATTCAGAAAGGCAGAAAGAAGAAATCCTCTAAGAACAGCAGTGCATGTACAATGAATGTGGACTTTGGTCTTATTTGGGTAGAGGATGTTTATTGGGACATCATGGAATACAGGTTAGAATCAAGATAGGTTTGACCAAATTATGAAAATGACCCAGAAAATTAACATTTTCTTAGTCTTAAAACTAGCTGAGTTTCCCTGTATAAATTCTTTAAGGGTTTCAAAGGGAACATTTGAGTCCTCGTATCATTTAAATATATTTGTAATTTAATTACACAACATTTCTAACCTGATAATGACCTTCAGACTTTATATGTAAGGTACATATAAAATATAAATTAATTTTGTGTTTAGACTTGACTCTCATCTCCAGTGTAACTCATTATATATATGCAACGATTTCAGAACATGAAAGAATTTTAAATCCAAGACACTTCTAGTCTCAAGATTTCAAATTAGAGATACTCAACCTGTAAAATAGGCATTTTCTAAAATTAGAAAAGAAATATATAATCAAATATTTTGATAATCTTTGCTTACATGTTTTATTGTCTTTATATTCTGGGAATAAGTGTAGTAAAACCCATTAATTCAAAAGTATTTGAGTGTCTTTCATGTGACAAGAGTGAACACAGACAAGAGGCCCTCTCTTAAACTCTGAATGTCAAGGAGATTGGTAGAAAGAGAATGGGGTAGAGAGAGAAGATGGGAGGGGAGGGGAGGGGAGGGGGATAGTAGAGGTTAGGAAAGGCAGCAGAATACAACAGACACTAGTATGGCAGTATGTAAAAACGTGGATGTGTAACTGATGTGATTCTGCAATCTGTATACTGGGAAAAAATGGGAGTTCATAACCCACTTGAATCAAATGTATGAAATATGATACGTCAAGAGCTATGTAATGTTTTGAACAACTAATAATAAAAAAAATGTACTATGCAAAAAAAATAGTTTAAAAAAAAAAGAAAGAGAAAGTTGAAAGTAGACAGGAAAATGGTCATTCAGGGAAAGAAGGGAAGTCTGTGTTGTCAGAAGATGATATTTCTTTAGAACCAGTGAGCAGATGTTAATATCCATGACTTTTTTCAAAAAAACCTTTTTTTCATAGTTGATAGAATTTACTTGCTAAGGTATAAAAAGATGTTCAATTTCATGTGCTCACCCAATGATTTTTCAGATGAATGCACTGGATACCCTGGGTCAGACTGCTTTGCATAGAGCTGCCCTAGCTGGTCACCTGCAAACCTGCCGCCTTCTGCTGAGTTATGGTTCTGATCCCTCCATCATCTCCTTACAAGGCTTTACAGCGGCACAAATGGGAAATGAAGCAGTGCAGCAGATTCTAAGTGGTGAGTTAAAATAAACAGTGTCCTGCTCAAACTTTATACCAAATGTTTTAAAAAGTATCTCCTTAGAACATTTTCTTGGCCTGAATTTTTTCCCCCATGCCTTTCCCAACTTGTAGTTTACTCTGTGACATTTCCTGTCTCTCAGTCTTCGTAGGATGAGGTAGATATCATGAGAAGGATGCAAACATACTTTTAAATTTTTTTCAATTTAAAATTAAAACCTTGACTCATGGGTGATATGATCGAAGATGACTTAAAATTTATATAAACAGTATGGAATTATGGTAGTTCTAAAATCTATCAAATAGAGAAAATTAAAATTCATTCTTGTGGTAATGACCTTTAATTAATTATTCTCATGTGTAATATTCTGATCTACTTTCTATCACTTTTAGCTTCAATTACACTATTATGAAATTATCCTTTCCCTCAATTTAAATATAATTATAAAATCTTGCTAAAAATCACAGTAAATGCTTACTACAGTGAGATAGTTTAATTATTTAGTTTATTGAGGGAGATCAAACATAAAATGGATACAGAAGCAGGCACTAGCTTGTTAAGTCCCCACATTAAAGGAAATAGCACAGAAAAAATTTTAGCCTACTGAAAAATTGTGAACTAAATACAAAAGAAAGTTAGTATAATTGACCCCTCCTTCGCATCCTTAACTTTGTGGATTGTATATCTTATAGAATCACATAAGCTAGAAGAGTAAAATGGAAAACACTACAGACTAGCAGGCAGAAGTCCTGGTTACTCTTTTTTACCTGTAGTCCAATAGCTCTTAAACTCTGTGAGGCACAATGTCCCCTTTTTAGTGAATATTTTATGACATCCTCTTTACTTTCCAGAAATGAAATTCAAAGATAATATACACACATATCTCTACAAATATCTTCCCTAAAATCTATATACAATACTGTTACTATTAGGAAGAAAATTACAATTACAATTAAATAATTTAAAATTATTGTGTAATAATTTGGTCACGACTATAGTAGAAAACAAAAATTGCCCCCACAAATCTTTAATGGGCCCCCAAGAAGTACAACCCAGTAGAGAATCACTGCTACATCCTGAGATACACAACCTTCCAAGACAGAGAAATGGAGATCATGGTGGATGTGTTCTAACTCAGAGCTAAATAGCCTCATGAAATAATTGTTTAATGCTTTGAAAACTATTGATTCAGATTGTCTTTCCTCATGACAACCATTCTATTTCAGTCTTAGATGATTATCTTTAGATAATGAAAAAATACCAATCTAAGACATCTTCACCATCAAAATGATCTCACTGAAGGAATAAAATTCTCCATTATTGAATTTCAAGCTTGAACTATTTGACCAAGACTTATTTCCTGTTTCCACAGATCACTGAATTATTTGCTTAAGAAAGATGTCACTCTTAACTAGGACATATTTCTGCCTTCTGTGCAAGTTCCACTAATTGTATAAAAATTGTGATTTTTATTAAAATATTCTACATTTTTCCCCTATACTTTTTATGAGAATCATTTAGCACTGAATTTTCAGTTAATTCCTATAAATTTTAACCTTATGTCAGGCAAGCTGACAACTATTGCATCAAAATTCCTAATACTGTAAATAGTTTGTAGAGACAGTCAACAAAATGGGGAAGAAAGATTTGAATAAATCAAGCAGATTTGATTATATAATGTTTTTAAATGTAGCTCTGTAGTAGAGTGTTTGCCTAGCATGTGCAAGGCCCTAGGTTCCTCCCCCTGTATCACAAAAGCAAAGCAAAAATATTAAATGTCTCTTCAATAAATGCAGTTAGAATAAATGCCTTCTTGTGAATGATAACATTAAACACTAAATCATAGATGAGATGTTTTACAATTTTGATAATTGTGCTTTAAAATTGATTTGTAAGATTAGACATATAAGTCATTAGATGGTTAATTTTAGACATGGCAGAACTTTTTCATTGAATTTTTGTAATCTTTATTGCTCTAAAAAGGTAATGCCAATATTAGAGTATGCAGTGAAATAGTGCCGTTTAAGAGGGGTTTTTTTTTTTTTTTTTTAATGGGTATTGTTTTATATTTGGAAGAAGATATAATTTTTTAAACTAATTTTTTTTTTAAGAGAGAGAGAGAGAGAATTTTATTTTATTTTATTAGTTTTCGGTGGACACAACATCTTTGTTTTTGTATGTGGTGCTGAGGATCGAACCCGGGCCGCACGCATGCCAGGCGAGCACGCTACCGATTGAGCCACATCCCCAGCCCCTTAAACTAATATTTATACCAGTTATTTATGTGTTAATAGACTGAACCATGCACCAACTGAAATTTTTAATTTTGCTTACGTTTATTAATCCAATTCCAGGTTATATTTACAATGACTCCTGAAAGAATGTATTAGTCATATAAGATATATATTAAGTTGTTGAGGTTATGTTGTGGATAATATTTTAAAGGTTCGTTTTAATATGCTTGCTAATACCAGAGTTGAAATCTATTTTAAAAACCTATACTTTCAGATTTTAACTTTGTAGTTGCCAGTTTACATGAATAAAGCTTTCACTGTAAATTTGGACAGTGTCCAAATTAATGTCAGAGTAAAGAAAACAAAATAGGTAGTTTTCTATGAATTAGCATTTTAAAAGTTCATTTCAGAAGATTTGGCTGTTTTCTCCAGACCAGCTCTGTTCCTATAGTTTGCCTGTAGCTACCTATAAAATTAATTAAAATCAAAATTAGGGCTGGGCTTTAGCTCAGTGGGAGAGCACTACCCTTGCATGCAGAAGACCTTGGGTTCAGTCCTTAGTACCACCAAAATTAATTAAAAAAAAAAAAAAAGATTTAAGTAAAATTGAAAATTCATGAATCACCACTGGCCACATTTCAGGTAAAAGTTACACATGTCTAGTGCCAACCATATTAGATAGGGCAGATAAAAAATACTATATTGGGGCTGAGTTTGTAGTTCAGTGATCAGTAGTAGAGCACTTGTGAGGCAATGAGTTCAATCCTCAGCACCAAATAAAAATAAATAAATAAAATGTATTAGTGTCCATCTGCAACTAAAAACATTTAAAAAAAAAAAAACATTACTTACAAAGACAGTTCTTCTGGACAGTGCATTTAAGCTATATTTTATTCTGAGTTATTCTGACTTTTTTTTATCCCAGTGTGGAATAACCATTACTGTCCTCTAATTCTTTCCACAGGTAAGGATTTAGGGATTTAGGGTAACTAAATTTAAACCTTGAAGTTCACATTTTCAGTGGTATATTGAAATAAGCCACTAAAACTTGTTGCTAGTTCAGTGATCTGATACTAAATAAAGAACCAGGCAATAAGAGATTATATTAAAATAGCAAAAAGGCTTCTAGCCTCTGGAAGATTTAAAAATTCTGGTGAGAATGACTAGGAGAAAAGTAGAAGCCCATCTCCAGTCTCTGACTATAGGTAATATATTTAATACAGAAGCCAGTGTACTTATAAAGGACTTAACTAACACAGTACTTACTATGTAAGCTACTCCTCTTTTGCCTGATTTCCATTTTTATTTTTATATCACTTCTTTTAATTGTACATAACTTTATATAAAGTTCCTTCCAGTTAATACTTTGTTCACACTGTTTCTAAAAATGAGGCTGTTCTAAGCCAATAGAAGATTTTTAACGGATGCAGAGATCTACAGTTAGTATAGTAATTAATCAGTATCTTTATCTTCTTTACTTTCTGTTCTTTGACCAAGACTAAGTTACCTTTCTCACAGTTCTCAGAAGCCTTTATATATGTGTATAAAACATTTTGTTTGATGGGAAAATTACAACCTTTACTAGTCAGTCTCCATCATGGTACATGTGTGAATATCAAATTGTTCTTAGAATTCAGCCATATTAATAGTATCTCTCAAATTATAAAACCTAAAAATATCCCAAGTTCTAATTCTGTGTACATAAACAAATCATCCCTCTTTTGTTTGTTCAAATAATAAGCTAAAAATATTACCTACAGATATCTAAAGGATGTTTTAGTGAGTTTTATCATCTGTTAATCACTGTCATAAAGACATTCTATACATACAGCGACATTCTTACCTATAAATGTAGTAATAACACACAGAGAATGGAAGAAGATGAGACAGACAAGAACAGAATAAGACCAGCCAAAGGAGAGTTGAAGTTTGACATACACATTGACTGCAGCATTAAAATAGCAAGGAAATCAACTCAGCAAATGCTTTCTGAATTGTTCTCTATGTGAAAAGAAGATTGTTTGTCAGTTCCACACACTGACAAATGTTAGTTAAAAAGAAGAACAATTCAAAATGTATTTCATTATATGAAGCACACTTTTCTTTCCACTCTTTAATCTTAGTATTTTATCTACTAAGCATTATAAATATGATCAAATAGTTTATCTTCCATTGAAGAATTTTTATAACTTATTCTATAAAAGTCTGTCTCCTGAACCAAAGCACTTTAGAAGAACTAAAGTATTTCTTCTGAAATCAGAAATCTTTTCATGGCATCACTTGATCTTCCCACTTGGAAAGTGGACTCAAAAAGGTGTCTCTGATCATAAGATGATACAATCTTAAATCTGAAAGCGACTCTGAGGGAAATCAACTCTCACTTTTTAAGTGCAAAAATTAAACTACTCTGTGATTTGTTCAAAGTTATACACTAGAGCCCTGTCTAAAATCCTAGTCTCCTGGAGCTTAGTGCTTTTGTGTTAATGTGTACGTGTGCATTATGAAAGCCATATTTAATGCCCATAAACATATTTTGGATGATAAATTATAAATTGTTTGCTTTAAAAACCTATTTTGTTTGGGTCAATGTGAAAAGGATTTTTAGTTTGTTTATATTGAATTAATCAAAATACATCATTTGTCAGTCTTTAGACTTAGCAGTCAAGCTTAATGATATTCTATTTAGCATTGGTATCATACCTTCCAAGTATACAGACATTTTTAATTGCATATCTTTGAAACCATTCAATAAATGTGAATTAAACAAATGTATATAGTAGGACTTTTTTATTCATTGATGATACTTTATAAGATTGTTGGGGACCACAAATCAAGTCAAGATGGCGCCTGGCAGTTTGCCAGGAGGAGTGGTTTGTGAGGCAACACCACCGAGCCATTAAGATGGTAGGGATTCCTTATTGGCTGATTGCTGTAACTGGATTATGCTAATTGAGTCAAGCTGTGTGTAATCAGTTAGGTATATATACCGCTGTTGTCCGCAATAAAGCAGTTCCCGCTTCAACCTTCAAGTTGCTTGTCACCTCCCGGTTATTTTGCCCAGCCGGACTGTGGCATAAGATCATTCCAATTTCCTATGTAATGCTTCTGTTTTATATTGAAGACATTAAAACTAAAAAGAAAAATTAAACTAAGTAGTAAAAGTCAAATGGCTTCCCTAGGTTTACATAACAAATCCAGGACAAAGTTTTGCTGCAACACTTTGTAAAACCAATGTATCATAAAGATGTATTTTTGATCTCTTGTCCTAGGCTTTCTCACTTCACTCCCTTTTGTTAAATCTTTGGCCAGAAAATTGGAGGGATAGGATAGGATAGTAGGGATAGAAAATGATTTGTGTGCATTAGAAGTTATTTAAATTTGGCTTAGAGTGATACCTAGATTGAAGTAAGAAAGCATTTATTTCTTATCTGAAAAATTGGGAAAAAAAACCTTTTATTACATCTTAGAAATTTCCAACCCCCTAATCTCTTTCTGTTTATCAAATTGTTTCCCCTCATTAACTGGTCTTTAATTCCCCAAGATCAATAGTAACCTTTCTTTTATTTAGAGAGTACACCTATACGCACTTCTGATGTTGATTATCGGCTCTTAGAGGCATCAAAAGCTGGTGACTTGGAAACTGTGAAGGTAAGTAAGTGCCTTTAATGTCTGGGGCAGCACTGTTGAACTTTGCTATCCAGTTCATTTTTAAGCTTCTTAGTAAAATTACTCAAATCTGAGCAATTAAAAACATTGATAGTTAGAATATATTCATAGATAGGAGAAGTCTTGAACTTTTTGTTTGATGGGAAACAAAACAAACCTACCAAGGATTTCCCAGCAAGTACCATGTAGCAGCAAAAGAAAAGATAAGCATACTTTTTAATCATTTTTCTTCAGGTTGCATGAAAGCTGTTCATTTTCACTTATATTAATTAAAGTGCTGTTATTTTAGATCATATTCACAAATAGGTAAACCAGTTTAAATAAAGGCATTAGTAGGATAATGTTTTAAATTATGTTTCTCAATATTTTTCCAGAGACTCTCATATTTGTTTTAAGAAGGCATTCTTATGGTCCCTTAATCATTAGGCATTGTTTATATGCACAAGAAGAGTTTTCAAAATTTTATCACTCTTTATTTGTATTATAGAAAAAAAGATTATAGACTAAACTTTTTCAAATATGAAATTCTAATATTGAATATGTTTTTCTTTAATAAAGAAGACCTAATTGCCATCTGTGATTATTCGTTTAGGGATAAAGTTAGCAAAACAAGAATTATGGCTTTATTTTTGTTTCCATGTTAATTTCATGTGTTTTGTATGTAACAAGCAAATATATACTATAACTTTCAAGTTGCCTCAACAACACATTCACAGTGAAGGCCAAAGTTAATTTTGTCAGTGGAGTGCAAATGTCAAAAGGAAACAAAGCACAAATTAAATGAGTATTAGGTCTGGTAAATTGCTTTCCCAAGAGGCTTTAGGAAGTATTAGAAGTATTAGGAGAAAAGGCTGTCTGCTGAGTAAAGTAGTTGAAATTGTGATGAAAAGTAAGAAGAATATAAAATTGCTTTGGCATTCAAAAATAAATGAAATGGAATGGAGAAAAGGAACTTAAATATTCAAAAAGCAAGTATTTAATAAGCAGGATGGGCATTTATGTGTGTGTGTGTTTCATTACCTGCCTCATTCCTAATTTTCAGTATTTTCTGTAAAAGTAATAATAAGCATTTAGAATGTTAAAATGGTGGTGGGGGTTGGGGAGCAGCAATATCAGAAAGCAGTTTCAGTTGTATAAGACTCCATAGAGAGCTAGGGTTGCAGCTCAGCAGTAGAGCACTCGCCTAGCACATGCGAGGCCCTGGATTCGATCCTCAGCACCACATAAAAAAATAAATAAATAGAATATAGCTATTGTGTCCAACTACAACTAAAAAATAAAGATTTTTTTAAAAAGACTCCATAGAACGTGCTTACTACCCATCTTTACAGCTTTTTTTTTTAGTTTATGTATTAATTTATTCATTTTCACTTATTTTTGTTTATTGGTACTGTTATTCATCTATTAACGTGGCTAAAGACAAGATATTTGACCTGACCAGATCAATTGTTTTTTTTAAACGGGGCTTTAGATTTTAATTCCCATTTAGAGTTGATGAGCTTATGAGCTCTCTTTCACTAGCTAGACTTCTTCCTAAAAATCATACCACCTGAAAGCCCTTGTTTTTATCCTACCTTTGTGAATGTTTCTTTGTTTAGTCCATTTGTGCTTCTATAATGAAATATCATAGACTAGGTAATTTATAAGCAATGGTAATTTATTTCTCTTAGATCTAGAGGCAAGGAAGTCTAAGATCCAGTCATGATCAGGTTTAGTGTCTGGATGGGGCCAGTGTTTTGCTTTCAAGGTGTCACCTTGTTGCCATATTCTTTGGAGGGAACAAAATGCTGTATCCTCACATGGCAGAAGGGGAAAAAGGAGAGAGCACTGTGTGTAACCTCTTTTATAAAAAAGTCTTAATCCCAGTCATGAGAGAGGAGTACCCATGGCCTAATCCCTCGCCTCTCAATACTGTTGTGTTGAAGATTAAGTTTCAACACAAATTTTGGAGGGACATATTCAAACCATAGCATCCCTACTCAATATCACTAAAAAGAGATCTTTCAGGTTCTTAGTTTGTATGTACTAATAGCTTGTTGCAGTGGCAGAAGTGGAAGCAAGCTTTATAGACAGTTCTCTCACTGAAAGAATCTGTTGTTCTTTTAAGCTGTAAATTATTGAAATATTATTACAGGAGAATAGGAAAGACGGTAGAATGAATCGGACATAACTTTCTTACATTCATATATGAATACACAACCAGTGAAACTCCACATCATGTACAACCACAAGAACAGGATCCAAATTATGACTGTATAATATGTCAAAATACATTCTACTGTCATGTATAACTAAAAAGAACAAACAATTTTTTAAATAGATTTCTATCACCACTGGTGATATAGCCTTTTGTTCTTTCTTTGCATCTTACTCTTTGAAACCAATATAATAGAGCCTATAATTTATATTGTGCTGAAATGACATTCAAAGGAGATAGGAGATTTGGAGGTTCATCTTGGAAAGGCCAAACTACAGTTTGACTTGTAGAGTTAAACATTCTCCCCCAACTCAAGAAACCATTGTTGACTGCATGTCTTTGCTATAGTGGATCAGGGCCAAGTGAGTGACCCAAACAGAAAAATATTATTTCCAGTAAGCTTTTGCTTACTTGATCAATATTAGAGGGGACAGGAACTTTGGTTCTGCAGTCACCCAGAGTTCTTAGTTGAACAGAGAATGGCTAAGAGCATTCTATTAGAAGCAGATATGTTAAGACAAGCAGTTGTAGGGAAGAAAGACATACAAAAATGAAAAGGGAAGACTTCTTATACTTAGAGATGCCTACTTTGAGTTTTATTGATTAGAATTTGGACTAGGAATGTTAACAGTGATTGATTTACTCTGTACATAGTTAGAAGTATTCATAGTCACTATAAAGCAAAACATAATGCCAGTTTTAATGTCATTTGTATTATCTAATCTTTGGAAATAAATATTCATTATAAAATCACAGCATATCCAAGATGTTACAGTCTATTACAGCAAAATCTATGAATAAATGTTAATGACCTTTTTGTGTTTTTCTCTATGTACGCACTATTAAAGCAACTTTGCAGCCCTCAAAATGTGAATTGCAGAGATCTAGAAGGTCGCCATTCTACACCCTTACACTTTGCAGCAGGCTATAATCGTGTGTCTGTTGTGGAGTACCTTCTACACCATGGTGCCGATGTCCATGCCAAAGACAAAGGGTATGTGTTAAAATTTAGCTATTTGGGATTTATTCTCTTCATAAAAAAAAAATTATGAAGTCTTAGCTTTATCTCCATTGAAAAACACTCATATGAAGCCAGATGTGGTGGTGCACACCTGTAATCCCAGCTACTCAGGAGGCTGAAGCAGGAGGATCCCAAGTTCAAAGTCAATCTCTGCAATTTAGTGAGATGCTGTCTCAAAATTTTAAAAATTAATTAATTAAAGGGCTAATCATTTTTCATATGATCTCTAAGTGGTAAAGGACCCCTGGGTTTGAACCCAGTACTACCAAAAGGAAAAAAAAAAAAGGCTGGTTCTGGTAGTGCACAGTTGTAATCCCAACTACTTAGGAGATTGTGGCAGGAGGCTAGCCTCTGCATTTTAGCTAGACCCTGTCTCAAAATAATATACATTTTTTGTTGCTTAAATTGTAAGTTAAAACAGAAATGTACAGTATAGAAAGTAAAAATTCCATTAGCTTGTCCCCTAGAAATACGAGCATTAATATTTTTAATATGTAATTTTTCAGCTACGTGAAAAACACAGTGGTTTTTAACACAGATGATGATGTCATTCTGTAGTCTACTTTGAAGTGTAATTTTTTTCACCCAGTGTTGTATCTTGAATATCTTTCCTTATCAGTATTTAATAGTTTCTTTCTTCTTCTTAATGCCTATATTTAGTATTTTATTACATTTTATGAATGTTTTCATATAGTTTGTGGTATGCTATTTATCTGTTATTTTTTGGTATTAAAAATGTATAATCTCTTTAACCATCCATCCCAGAGTCATTAGTATTTAAAGAAGCAATTTTATTTTTATTAATTTTAAAATATCCTTTATTTTTATTATTAGTTTGATAAATTATTTAACTTTTCCTGGAAAAAGCTTAAAGCAGCCATAGAATTAGAAACGTGAGAGGAGAATGTGACTGAAATGAATTTTCATATTGTGTGTTAATTTCATAATCTCAAAATAAGCCAGCATCTCCTGTGCAGTTACACAGCAGAGTGCTGTAGAATTAAACTACATGATTTAGGCTTCAGTTAATCATTATGTGTTTATCTTTTTAAAGGGACACATCAGACATAAATATTCAACAGCAATGTCACTGACTCTTTCAAAATATTATGCTGCATTGGAGAGGAACAAATTTTTGTTTCTATTGCTTATTTTAGCACCCAGCATATTTCATCACAAAACACTTTTTTACACTGATCTCTAAATAAAAAGACACTTGATATCTTGTTTTTGTTCTGTCTGAAGTGCAATATAAACTTACCCTTTTGATGCACTCTTTTTTATGGGGCATCTTTTTGTGCTTTTAGAATGCCAGTTGCTTTCTAATCAGAACTTAGTCATCCCAGAATAGTTTGCTTATAAGTTGAGGCTACTAGAGTCTCTCTTCTGACTAAAATTTATAATTAGCATCATTACTTTCCTTAGTGAATAGTTTTCTGAATCACTTGGAATGTGAGTTTTCATTCTTTGGCACCTTAATATTTAAATCTATCTGTTGAAATCATTATAGAATCAGTGTAAATTTAAAAATGCGAAACAAAAACAAAAGATAGAACTTAGAATTTCTAAGTAGAGTTGAACTGTGTATCTTTTAAGTAAATAATGGTTACATTGTATATTTTACAGGTAAGCATGCAATTTTCATAAACCCAAAAAGAAGAAAATCGAGATGATAAAACCTGATTGTTAATTATTCTGGAAATCACTTTGTAATATATAATTTTACGTTGCCAGTGAGAAAATCTAAATTAAAAGTTTTGATGGAGTTTTATTCTCTATTTCTATATGTATTTTAGTGGTAATGATTGCATGATATATATATCCATGCCCAAGAAACAGAAAAGTCCTTCTGTGAAAAGAAACATTTTAAAAATGATTCATTCTTGTTTAGAAATAAATAAATGCTTCATCTTAAAAACCAAAAAAAGGATTTATTTCTTTTTGATCCAATATTCAGTATAGTCAGTGCCATAAGAGCAGTATTTATATTATAAAAATCATTTTAACTCAAGAATTTGTTTTAGAACTTTAAAGTAATGTGTATGTGTCTTTGTTTTAGCGGCTTGGTGCCCCTTCATAATGCCTGTTCCTATGGACACTATGAGGTAGCTGAGCTTTTAGTGAGGCATGGAGCTTCTGTCAATGTGGCGGACTTATGGAAATTTACCCCTCTACATGAAGCAGCAGCTAAAGGAAAATATGAAATCTGCAAGCTCCTTTTAAAAGTATGTGGTTTTAAAAGTTCTAAAAACACAAACATTTGGTTTTTGATGATTAAACTTGAATCCGAATTTTGTTCTATTAAGAATAAGTGCTGTAGGGGCTGAGGTTGTGGCTCAGCAGTAAGCACTTGCCTAGCATGTGTGAGGCACTGGGTTTGATTCTCAGCACTGCATATAAATAAATAAAATAAAGGTCCATTGACAACTAAAAAAAAAAAATTTAAAAAGAATACGTGCTATAGAAACCACTTCCATTTTCTCTTTCACAGAGAAATGTTTTAGTATCATGATATGTCTATAGTTCTGAGTAGTCCTTGAAGTGTCTAAGTGAATTTGATTAAAATACTTTCATCAAAGTGGGTTTTGAAAAGAGTTGATTTAGTTTGTGTTGTTTATCTAATATTTGCAATATTAATGTCAAAAAATGGTACAGGGAAAAATTGTTCTGGTTAGAAATTATTAAAATTTTCCCACCATTTTTCTGATATCAGAGTTGTTCTTATGACTCTTCAGAAAAACGTTGTATTTAATAATCATTTTTATTACAACTGGCTGGTAAGAAATAACTTCCATATCATTGTTAATCTAGTTTCTAAGTTGATTTATTCCAAATTTCCATAGTGGGTCAAGAGCAGCCTGTGTTGTTTCTAAAATTAAAATTCTTGACTTTTATTTATTTTATAGGTATGGGTGGTTAAACTTTTTATATCTAGGTTATTTTTAACACATTTTTGCTTAGCTTCAAAATAGGTGGTAAAATTTAAAAAGTTACCAAACTTTTTCTTTACTGATGGCATTTAGAATAAAGTACTTTTTCCACTGATGTAATCTTCTTTTTCTCTATTCTTTTTCATGATACCCACTGAATATCTTTATGTAATTGAAATCTTGTGAGAGTTAACATCCAGGACGTTCTTAAATGGACAAGAGCTTTTCCAAAAAGATAACTAGGAATCTGAGAAAAAAGTATATTTTGTGATGAGTAAAAGATACTCAACACCCTCCACTATTTCATCATCACCATTGATTCTCAGCCTTGGGTTAAGTAGTGCTTAGAAGCTGATCCAATACGTTGCTAAGTAGGGAATGAACAAAAGCAGGATGTGGCTTCTCTTTTTTTAAAACACATACAGAACAGATATCTTTTCTCCCATGATGAATGAAAGTGGAATATGTTAAATAAATATGTACATGCTACCCACCCAACTTCCAACTGACAGAAAGCTACTACAGAAAACACAAACCCCATTTGGTTTTTCTTCTTTGTAGCATGGAGCAGATCCAACTAAAAAGAACAGAGATGGAAACACACCTCTCGATTTAGTAAAAGAAGGAGACACAGATATTCAGGACTTACTGAGAGGGGATGCTGCCTTGTTGGATGCTGCCAAGAAGGGCTGCCTGGCAAGAGTGCAGAAGCTGTGTACCCCAGAGAATATCAACTGTAGAGACACTCAGGGCAGAAATTCAACTCCTCTGCACTTGGCAGGTAAGCATCACAAGTGCATCCAAATCTCTTTTCCTTACTTGGATACCTAATACAGTTTATCAAAAGATGAAATGATTGACATAATTTTGTATAATTTCTTACTTTGAAAATTTTCAATTATATGATAATAGTATTAGCTTCTAAAGCAAAAAGAATTAAAATCTTAATTACCTGGTCTTTCACAAGATAATTAATAACATATGAATAGATGTACACATATGTATTTTTTTTTTCTTTAGCTGACATGTTTGCCTTTTTTACTCTTAATAGCAGGCTACAATAACCTGGAAGTAGCTGAATATCTTTTAGAGCATGGAGCAGATGTTAATGCCCAAGACAAAGGTGGTTTAATTCCTCTTCACAATGCAGCATCTTATGGGGTGAGCATTCTAAAGTTAATATCTACAAGACTTCCCTGGCATTTACTGCTTTTTTAAATATATACTACACATTAAATAAGTAGATATCCAATCAGTAGCATAATTTAGCACAGTTTTAATCTTTTGTTCAGGTTTTGTCTCAGACCTTTCTTGTTAAGCTTAACTATTTTTTGATCAACAACCACACTTTTTAACACTCTCTGATCTCTCCATCTTATCTAGCACAAGAACAGGTATGTAATGAGTACTAAGTTAATATTTATGGATATAGGTAATATTTATTAACTCTACCAGCAGACTTTAGAAGCTATAAAATCAGGAGGCTCCTATATAGGCATGGAAATTATGGTGGTTTATGCTATTATCAACATCTTAAAAATGTTCAAGTGAGTGGTTGAGCAATTTATATACATAATTCCAGAGGATGAATAACTAAAACCCCAAAGTGAAATTCCAGTGCCATCCTTCCAACCACTATAACTACTATTAGTTGGAAGAGGAATGTATCGTAATGCCTTGGTGCTGCTTTTCTGAACTAACTGTAAGTTAGTAACCAAGGCCCACTCAGGTCTGATCCCTCACAGCAGTAGAATAACAATTGCTCATGTTCTTGTCTATTCTTCCAAGTGATTACTAACTGGACTTTAGAAATCCACTAATGCCAGATTATACATACCTGGAGTTCTCACAGTTGGATTCACTATTGTTGAAGATGGTGTGTAAATTGCAAAAATCTGATGAATTGTAAATAACAACCAAACTAATTACCATGATTTCCATATTCTCCCTTCCTAGCGATAATACCTTCTGTGTTCTTAAGCCTTTCTGTAAAGATCAGTATTTCAGGGAGATGATAAATCTGAGTGGAAATGCTTTTAAAGAAAGCAAACAATCCAGTTTTGAACAAACAAGAAAGAAAACTACTTCCAAATATAATGTAAATTAATTGAAATACATTTAATTTAATGCATTAATTAAATACATTGTTAGTACTAAAATCTTTTAAATTGCATTTAAAATTGTCTTTTAAAGATGATTACATCTTTCTATTAAAAATTTCAGAATTTTCTTTTGACCTTACTTGACATAAAATTTACAGTTTCATTGCACTGAAAACCAGGTATGCTAAATATTTGTTGCTAACATACTGCACATACATTTATGTATAATTACTTTACTGTTAAATTATAACTACACATGTGTATCATTTAAAAACTAATTTGCAGTACTTCTTAACATGATCCTCCTTCTCTATATTGAATTTTACTGAATTTTATATTGAATTTTATTGAATTTTACTTTGCTAAGCTTCACTTAAGAGTTGATAAAGCTGGTGAGATCAGTAGAACTTGAATGGGAATCTTCTCTTCTGTGAAAACCTGCTAATGAGTAAAGATAGGTAGTAGCAGTAGAATTACAGTAATGATCTGACATAATAAAGCTTCTGTTGTGGTTTTAGTTGTATAGATGACATTAATCCTCATATATTATAGATATAAGGAAGTTCTATCCATCATTCATTTTCTTTCACAATCTTCATGGCTGTCCCAGAGGATAAAGAAAACAAAACTTAATTTGGTCCTCATTTTCATGGAAAAATGTTGAGATATTATACTGCATGTGTGTGTGTTTTGTTATGGTTTTTGTTTTGTTTTGTTTTGTTTAGTACTCTGTGGCATTTTACCTCTGAACCATGTCTCCAGCCCTTTTCATTTTTATTTTGAGACAGGGTCTTGCGAAGTTGCCTTAGGGCCTCATAAAGTTGCTGAGGCTGGCCTTGAACTTACAGTTCTCCTGCCTCAGCCTCCTGAATCCCTAGGAATACAAGCTTGTGCCCCCGTGCCCATCTCTACATGCATGTCATTTGATAACCATTCTGAGGGAATAGAATTTGTAGTGGTTCTCCTTTGTGGCTAAAGAGCAATGCAGTATGCATTCTTTCATGCTATCTTGAAAACATCTTGTCATTAGCTGAAGAGGGGTGTAGTAATGTATTCAGTGTGACAACCAGCCCAAGGTTCTATATTCATAAACTCATTTCCTTACGATCCACAATTTTTGCTCTCTTTTTCTAATACCAGGTGAGAAAAAATAATGAACATTTTTTTCACTATCTCTTTTTAAGTTTTACTTTTTGTTATCAAATCTCTTCTGCTTGGCTCTTTGTAAATGAAGTCAGCTTACTAAAGTGAAAATGATCAGAAAATTCTCCAAGCTGTATAGAGGTTTTGATCAACCTGATTCATCTAATCTTTGTACTAAAGAATGCAAATGAGCTACATGATATGTTTATAGGAAGTGTTTTTACCTCATTGTGTGGGGTGGATTATTTGAGTCACTCTAAAAATCCTTCATCAATGTAACTAGTAAATTCAAATATCTCTGAGTTAATGACTACATACTATGAATTTAACACCTTTTCTTTGATGGATTCTTGACCTTTTGGGGTTTTTTCCCTTTGTCATTTTTTTTTTAACACGTGCAACCCATCGCTCTCATGACACATAGTGATTGTCACTTGGCAGTAAATAAGGTCATCTTCTCCATTGAGAATCTCTGCTCTACAAAGTAATTAATATTATTTGCAAACCTGTAATCTATTATCAGTAACTACATGAAATCAGTATTTCTGTCACTCTGGGGACTGATGTTAACACCGTACATAGTCCTTGACTTCCACTAGTTCAGTTTAAGATCTTTCAACTTTTTAGTGGAGCCAAAGTGCTACACATCAGTAGAAACTGTACTTCAAACTTCAGTTTTTTTCTAGGCTAGAGACATATGGTATATGATATGGCAACAAGTCCCATCTCCCAGGCAGCCTCTTGATCCTAAGGGAAATAACCAGTACTCTACAGGGTACTATGTTGCTTAGCTGTGATTTCAGTAGATCAGGTATATTAAATGCATTTTTAACAATGACATTTTACCTTACAGTGACTATCAGGTACTTTACTTTGTCATCTTTTAACAAATGGGAATATAAAGGGAGATTTTTATATCTGTAGGTATATAAATCTATATATGTTTCCAAAGTTCCTTTTTATTCATGCCATATACCTAGGCCTTGGCTAAATATTTTAATGAAAATTGGACCACACTATGCATTACTCTATTAGGATGGGAAAACTCTGTTTCTATTATATTTGTCTCAGTGATGTTTGGAACTGACCTGGCCTCATGGTATTTATGGATACACTTGCCCAGAAATCATCACTTGTGGAATAGACTTTTGTGGTACTTCATCTTGAATAAAGGGTACTAAAAGCAAAACAATTTGTAGGGTAGTTTAGTGTAGTGTTACCCAATGATCTTGACTTAGATGGTTTTGCCCTAATACCGTACTTTCCCATTCTCAGCTTGTCAGGAAAATGGCTCTTGTAATTCAGTCTAGCAAGATCCTGCAGGCATCTGTAGTCATGGAAAAACCTGAAATTGGGATCTGAACATCCAGGATCTAATCTTTACTCTTATTGCTCAATAACCCAGCAGCCTTTAGCAAGTGTTTTATTTTTTCCAAATCTTCACTTCTTTCTCCAGTAAAAGTTGAATTCTAATACCTTCTTTACAGGGTTATTATAATGATTAAATAAGTGCATAAGGAGCCTCCCTCCTGCCCCCCTCTCAAGCCACTATAGAAGTGTAAGTAATATTATTGGTAGAGCAGCTGGTCAGAATAAGGGCTTCATGTCACTTCTACAAACAGCCTAGGAATAATCCATGTATTTTTCTAACTCAACATCAATATTAAATAGACACAGATTAATTTACTAGCCTGCAGGTAAAATAATAATATAAAATATCTGAAAATACATGAAGTTATTTACTTGTGCAGTTATTTATTGGTGATTATTCCTTGACAACACAATTTTTTCTTTAGAAAGCTCTCTGTGTGTCTTTGTTATATAAAAAGGACTTGCCACCTCAGTTTTTCCAAATGTATAAAATATACACATACTTTAAGAAGTTTAAGAGTTTATATTAATGACAATGTACCTTATTCTGTTTAGTGTTGTTTATATTATAATATGTTGTGTTATTTTTGAATGTACATAACACAGGACATTAATTTCTCTGCTAGTCAGTAAATGTAAATGTTTCATTGACATTTATTACCACAAAGCATGCAGTTTGTTGTCTGGTTCATTTTCTCCCTCAACTCCTTTATTTTCTTGTATTTTTCCTAAAATGTGTAATATTTGAGGAATTTTATAAGATCATTGTGATAGAGCTTTAGCAGGAGCCCAAGCATGTTTCTCTTCACCCTACTTCCCACATTTCTAAATATAAATTAAAGCCTTTCCAGTCTCTTTATGTTGTTTGTCATTTAAAGCATTGTGTGTTGCAGCTGAATTCTGAAACCCTGTTAAATTTGCTCTCCTGGAAACATTCCAAAAGGGTTCCATTTCTTTTCTAGACCTTCCAGTTCAGTACTTTGCTCTTGCACAGTGAATAGAACTGAGCTGCAGCTTATTGCATTTGTCACCCTTAATTTTCAGTTACTATTTTTGCCCCAGTAGTGTAGCTACTTAAGAGAATTAAAGAGGTTAAGAATTGTGTTTTTCAGTCTACTTGGGTAGTAATGTACTTCTTCCTGTTCATTGTTCTTTCAGACATTTGTCAACAAATTTAGCAAGCATGTAATTGGTTTCTCTAAGCATAAACCATAAATTCAGTAAGGAAAGTTTAACAATACACACCGATACCAGCTGTACAATTCATTTTATACACATGCACACACAAACATGTAATTTTCTTTGCACTCTCTAATTTTAGAAGTCTGTGTAGTCTACCAAATTTTATTATTCTGCCAGCAAACATGGGAATAAAATAAAATTAATCATCAGAAACAGAAACAGTTTAGCTATAACCTTACTCAGGAGAACTTTGAAATGTATTTCATGGTTTTGGATTAACTGAACAAAAGTTGCTTTTTGCAACATATATCCTCTTAGTAAGGGAGGTTTTTGTATTAAATGATTTTTTAGGTTTTTGTATTAAATGATTTTGACAGTGCCAAAGATGGTACCTCTATTTTCATCTTCTGTTACAAAGTCTAAAAATAATTAAACTATAAAATTAATTTTAAAATTATCTCATAGTCTGAGAAGAACCGCAAAACATAGCCTGTTCAATTGAATTCCTAGTCTGCTTATGCTGCCTTTTTATTTTTTTCTTCTTTATATTTTCAGCAATGGGAAGCTTTTCTTAAGGAGTTGGCAGATCTGTCCCTTTAAGATAAATTTTCTTTATTTTTTCTCCTGAAATTATGATTCCTAAGATCAGTAAATATCTGTATCAGTAAATATCTCTTTTTTTAAAAGAGAGAGAATTTTTTTTAATATTTTTATTTCTTTTAGTTATCGGCGGACACAACATCTTCATTTGTATGTGGTGCTGAGGATGGAACCCGGGCCACACGCATGTTCGCGCTACTGCTTGAGCCACATCCCCAGCCCTATATTTTTTTAAAATATTAGTTCAGAAAAAATGCCTGTTATTTTTCAAAGTACGTGTTTTCAAGGTAGCAGAAAAAACTATTTAAAGAAGATATGAAATAATATTCCTTAAATCCTATCTTTGGATGTCTATCTTCCCCATCTGCATTTTCAGAGATCTCAGCCTCAAAAATTCCAATACATTGTAGTTGAACAACAGCATGAGTTAAATATGTATTATCAACAGTTACCGTGCATCTGAATTTATTGTCAAAAGTGGTACCCCCCAAAAAAGTTCCCCTTATCAATAAGGAATATAAATGTGCCCGTCACACAAAATTATAGAGTATTGGAGTTGAAATGGATTTCAGAAACACTTGAGTGGTAACCAGCTTAGCATTCCTAAATGTGTTTATAAAAATATACAAGTTATTTTTAATGTTTTTTTTAAATATATATATTTATTTATTTTAAAGTCTGGTATTGAATTGATAATTCATGGGCTTAATTGATTTTTTTAAAATATGTTTTAAGTTGTTGGTAGACTTTCATTTTATTTATTTATATGCAATGCTGAGAATCAAACCCAGTGCCTCACACATGCCAGGCAAGTGCACTACTGCCCCAGACCCTTAATTGATTACTTTAAAGCTTAAGAAGCTGAAACTTTGCTATATAGAGCTCTATTTGAGAGAATCTGCTCTGTTCAGGACTTTCTCCTTCATTACAATTCTTCCATAGTTATTTCCCCTTTTGTCCCCTCTGAGTACTGTTTTTTGACTCTCCTTTTCCAAAAAATTATTGTTTTCAAGGCTTTATCCTCCTTATTGTTTTTTTCTGTATTTTTATTAGTGAGCTCATTTATCAAGTAGCTATGGCTATAAATTCAGTATCAATTTTGTAATCCTTCCAGAGTTCCTACCTCCAGTGCCAGTCTCCTACTAAATGTTCAGTAAATATTTGGTTGCTGGTTGAATTGGTTAGGAGACAGTAAGTAAATAAATGATGGCCTCTTATCTTGCTCCAACCTTTGCTATTAAACTGTTTTAAAAACATTATTACTTTAGTGTTTTTCCTCAAGAGCCACCTTCCCTAAGTGAACTTATCTTTCTTATAGTTCCATTCCTACTTAAACTTTTTCTAGCCAGTATCTGTTAGTAGTTCTGTCTTTATTTTTCAATCTGCTGACTTCCTGCTAAAATATAATCATCTTTTGAGTGTTTGATCACTCTTCTTTGTAGTCCAAATTCTTTTGTAGTGAACTTTTCCAAACCGAATTGTTTTTCCTCCAAAAGTTCTCACGTTTATCCCTTTGTTTTCATTCTTCTATATACATACTCATGCCCATGTTGTTAGTGTGACTGCTACCCACTTTTTCTTCATCCCTAAATCATTTTGGACATAACCAATTTTTATAAAATATTGTTTTCCTATGTTATTTTCCCAAAGTCTGTAGAGCAAAAGGTTGAGAATCCTTTAATAATTAGATCATAAAGTGGTTAGAAGAAAAATGGGAATATCAGAAGAGAAGCACTGGGTATAAAATGTTTGTTTGAAAAGTTTACCAGATAGAGTAAACTGTTACCCGAAGACCTGAGAACCTAGGATCCAGGTATAAGTTTATTTTTTAAATTTGTTTTTAAGATAGACCAGAATATGTTAGAAGAATGAATCTTTATAATAAAGCCCATGCAAAATTATAGGGTAAAAGAATAATTGTGTAATTGAGATTTTTTTTGAGAAAGCAAGAAAAGACAATATCTTTTTTTTTTTTTTTTTGGTAGAAGAAACTTCTTTTAAGGATGAGAATACAGACATAAATAGAATGAATTGCTAAATAGAAACAAGTAGACATGATGGAGCTTTACCAGGTGATCTCATTCTTAACTCTTTGCATCCTTTTTGTTTGTCCTCAGCATGTTGACATAGCAGCATTACTGATAAAATATAACACATGTGTAAATGCAACAGATAAATGGGCATTTACTCCTCTCCATGAAGCAGCCCAGAAAGGAAGGACACAGTTATGTGCCCTACTCCTAGCACATGGCGCAGATCCAACTATGAAGAACCAAGAAGGTCAGACACCTTTAGATCTGGCAACAGTAAGTCCTTATTTCAGATATTCAGTATTGTGATTACAGTTTGAGAGTTAATGTTACTTTCTAGGGCTCAGCTATTTTATCTTTAGTAATGCTTCTTCTGCTTAGGACAAGAACAGATTTCCTTCTGAAATTTTTATAATTTAAAACTGTTAAGACAAACTAAGCAGTAAGCTTAATTACCTTACCCTCTTAGCTTATAGGGAAAGGGACTGTGAATCATAGGAAACCATATTTGTAACATGTGTCCCCAAGGAATTACTATGATATAGCACAGCTGATATTTGTGGTAACATATTTATGAAATCATCAAAGAAAAATTCAGTCTAGATAGTATATTATTCTTATGAAAAGGGAAAAGTAAATTTTATACAAATATTTTCAAAATCATGAATTAAATTTTTGTGATTAATATTATTTAATTGCTAAGTTAAACATTATATCGCCTTCCCTATACTTTTTGAAAATCATGGAAGTTAATTAATAGTCACAATAATTTATAATCTTTAAGCCAGAGATATTTTTCCATATTCTGTTTCATTTATGTATTGCTGAGCAGTAGACTATTTCACAGCACTTAATGGCTCTAAAATAATGATTTATTACCTCTCATGATTCTGAACAATAACTAGGAGGTTCTTACGATGAACTCACCTGGGGTCACTTGTGCAGCTGCACATGCCTGGTGACTAAAGCAGGAACATAAAAGATGGCTTTGCTCATATGCCTGAAGCCTTGGCATAAGTGACTAGAATTCTCTACGTCTCATCATTAAATATTCTTGATAGAATTTTTTTATAGGATGAGTATGCAGTCATCAAAAGGGAAAGGGCAAAAGCTGCCATTTCTCTTAAAGGCTAAGCCTAAAGACTCCTGTCATTCCTACCACATTCTGTTGTGCAGAGCAAGTTGTGAGGACAGCCCACGTTCAAAGATTTGGGGAAATAGGTGCCATTTTCTCTGGAGGGAGAAAAGAAGATTGTGTGGCCCCATTTGACCTACCACTGCCCTCCCTATGGCCACGAATCGTTTACATTTTCTCTCACATTCTAACTTTATTCACACTCATCCCAATGAGGGGACAGGTAGCTAGCTGTCACTGGTACATAGCAATTCCAGAATCCAGTCAGGCAAATATTATCAGAGCCATAATCCAGTCAGGCAAATATTATCAGAGCCATCTACTCTACAGTCAGGGAGTGGCCATTGATTAGGACACACTTCTGTACCCAGGAAGTGGTTTTCTGGAACTCTTGATTATGTCCTCTTTCCATAGATATGGCCCATATTTATACTTAAAAGGCTTTCTCAGCCTTCTGAGTGCTCCTAGAAATTTGGGGACCTTGAGTCATTCTTCATTTTGATTTGTCTATTCCCATTAGTCCCTCCTGGTATAATTCAGTTATAAATGTTTGAATTTCTTATCAAGTTATACGCCACTTCATCAGACAAAAGCCCCAACCACAAATTTCTTCTCAGCAAGTCCTCTCTAATTTGGATTCAAAGTCAAGGTCCTATGAGTCAATGTCCTTATGATTCTTAGAAGCACTTTCAGTACTAGCTGAGAACTCACAATCTCCCACCTTAAAGGCCTTGGTAAGACTTTTACCTGTAAATCCATGTCTCAGAATTGTATTTTTTTGTTTGTTTTTCACTCTGAGACCATGTGTTATTGTCAGCCCTCTGGATATGATCTTTGGTCTGAGGCTATTTTTTATTTTGAGAAATTTTTTGCTAGTAGAAAGGCTGTGGAGGAAAGACTAATTTTGTTTTCTAACCTAGCAATCTGGGTGAAAGTATTTCCTTAGAACTGAATAATTACTTTTTAGTTCATTTTTATCTTCCTGTGCTTTCTACATTCTCTAACACATTGTATGCCAATGTGGACAGACATTCTACTACACATTGGTCCCCCTTTCTTAAGTCTTCAATAGCAATTGCTTATTTTTCAACTTTCACTGGTAGTGACCATGCCATCTTTCATGCCTCCAGCCAAAGCCATGTCTTAGTTTTTTGTTACTGCAACACCCACTTCCATGCCTGGTAGTCATTAAAGAAAAAATTCACAAAACATTTGGTGGTACTTGGTGAAAAACTTAACATTTATAATACAATATTTTTGTGTTTTCTTCATTTTTAGGCTGATGATATCAGAGCTTTGCTGATAGATGCCATGCCCCCTGAGGCCTTACCTACCTGTTTTAAGCCTCAAGCAACTGTAGTGAGTGCCTCTCTGATCTCACCAGCATCCACCCCTTCCTGCCTCTCTGCTGCTAGTAGCATAGATAACCTCACTGGCCCTTTAGCAGAGTTGGCAGTAGGAGGAGCCTCCAATGCAGGGGATGGTGCAGCTGGTACAGAAAGGAAGGAGGGAGAAGGTTAGTATAACCTGTGAACACTTACTTGTTTATACTTTAATGGAACAGATTCATTTTTTTCCCATTGGTAATGATTGAAAACTTCATTTAGAAATACCTTGTCTTTAAATTTGTATACACACATCACCTTAGAAGGAATGCTTCTTCATAGAAGGCTGCTAGGTTCCTCAGCATCTATTTTGTTTTTATTTATGTAAACTGTATGTCTGTCCATTGTGCTTGTAGTATGCATATGTGTGTACAGTATGTCTATTTCCAACTGTACTATCTTATTAAACTATTATGTGAATCTTATTCCTGAAATTACATCAGAAAAACAACTGAGAGGTCATTTAAAGAATGAAAAGTGAAACAGTAGCTGGTACGTCTGGATTTTTAATTTTTTAGAAGCATTAAATTATCCTATATAATTCTGTATTCTAGTTCTATATACTAACTGTATTATTAGAATTAATACAAATACTTCTGCTGTGATAAAGTACTCTGCTTTTACTTCTCAACTAAATACGAGATAGCTTAATCTGAATTAAATTTATGTATTCTGAATTTTTTCATGCTGTGTAAAAATCATCTGCATAGCCAAGCATGTCCAAGAGCCATGACTTTAAACAGAAACATCTTTTAGATTCATAAAATTCTTTCCAGTAAATTTTATTTCTATTTTAGTTGCAGGTCTTGACATGAATATCAGCCAGTTCCTAAAAAGCCTTGGCCTTGAACACCTTCGGGATATCTTTGAAACAGAACAGGTAATTCTTTTATTTATATTTGAATCTTTTAAATATTAAGTTATTAATTGTCAGCCATTGTTTCTTTTTTGTTTATTAACAACTATTTTAATACTCGTAGCATTTCCCTAAAAGCCAGGGGAGCCCAAAATTTTATACTTCTCTCCAAAATTGTCTGTGTCTTTGTTATTTTATTTTATCTTTATAAACAGACCTGCTCAATACATTTTTATCAGTCATGAAAACTTAGATCATGAGAGGTGGGGATATAGTTCAATAGTAGAGCACTTATCTAGTACCACACACACAAAAAAATCTTACACCATGAAACCACTTCAAAAGATTATTCTCAAAGTTGTCTTTTTTTGTTGTTGTTGCTATTGTTTGTTTAAAAAAATTGCATTCATTTCATTGCAGTTCCATGTATTAATTAGGATTCTGTTTATTCTGAGAAATTTTTTGCTGCTGTTTTTCTACAGAATTATGAGTTCTTAATACTGCATGCTTTTATACCATGGTTAGCATTAAGGATTGATGATAAGAACCTTACCTTAACAATTATTGATGTACATGGAAATGTAGAATGGGTGTTTAGAGGTCATTAAGTCATTCTCCTAGGTTCAAGAATCACCTTTTTCACATCCATGTCAGTCCTCCAGGCTGGAAAGATGATTTGTTAGAACTTGGGCCAAGTGTAATAGAATGGTTATAATTTAAAATATGTCAAGATCAGCCCCCATGTTTAATCCATTTGATTTAGATTTATGTTTACCCGTTCTAACAGAAATATATTCCTTCAGAAGTCTAAAATCAATATGGCTCAGGACTGCACACCCTACACAAACTTTAGGGGAGAAATTATTCCATGCCTCTTCTCAACTGCCTTGACTTTTCTCAAATTACTCTTCTCAAAGTCTCCTCTTCTGTCTTCATATTGCTACCTTCTCTGTGTCTGTCTTCTATGTGCTTATGAGGACATTTGGCATTGAGATTAGGGCCTACTCCTATAATACTGGTTGATCTCCACATCTCAAGACCTTAATTACATCTGGAAATATGTTTTTTCAAATAAAGTAACATTCACATTAATATAAATTAACATTAATATAAATACTACTGCTGTGATGAAGTACTCTGCTTCTGGAGATGAGAGCACAGACATCTCTTTTTAGGGTCACCAAACTACTACAACATAATGTAGCCCTTCTTCTTAAGCCCTAGTCAAGTTATCATGGACTTTATCTTTCTAACTTGCCCTCTAGAAATCTTCCCTTATTTTAGGATAAATATAACCTACTCTTTCAATAATTCTTCATGTGACAGTTTCCAAATTGTTCATACCTTTGCTTCATACTGTTTTCTTTATAGGCAAATAATCAATTTTAATTGATTAAAATTAATATACTGTTAAGATTTTCTTCTGCTTTTTCTTACTTCTTTACACATACTTTTTTTTTTTTTAGATGTATGTAACACAATACCACATACCTTTATTTATTTTTTTTTTTTAATGTGGTGCTGAGGATTGAACCCAGTGCCTCACACATTCAAGGCAGGCGCTCTACTGCTGAGCCACAACCCCAGTCTCCCCACATGAATTTATTTATTATTATTTATCTTTAGTGATTTCAATAATCAGAATAGTTAAGTAGAAATAGTGTTGGACTAAAGGAAAACTTGATTCTAATTATTTTTTCCCTTTTACTAGCTGAGTTAAAAGACATTAACCTGGCGCTTCCCCTACCTGTAAAATCTAATAACTTGCAGATGTCCAGATAGTTAAAACTCCCAGTTATATTGTGCTTTTGTGCCAATTTTTAAAACATGCTTTAGTGAAGCATTATAATGGGTCTTTTTTGTGGTGGTGAGGACTTGATAGATTGGTATAAGAGTTTCTTTTTCTTACCATTTATTCATCCTCTGGTTCAGAGATTTCTTATGGGAATATTGTGTAAACACTAAGAATTCTTTTCCCATGTGCCTTCTTCAAAGATTTTTAGATTGTTATAAAAACATTATCCTTGCTGGGCACAGTGATGCACACCTGTAATCCCAGCAGCTTGGGAGAGGCAGGAGGATCTCAAGTTCAAAGCTCAAAATAAAAAATAAAAAGGGCTGGGGATTTAGCTCAGTATTAAAGCTCCCTGGCTTCAATCCCCAGTACCAAAGAAAACAAAAAACAATAACAAAAAACCATTATCCTCTGATATAGCCCCCATTATATCCCTTTAACCCAAATCATACCCATAATAATGGTGAAATTTCAAAAACATCTTCTCTTAATGAACAAGAGATCCTAATTTAATCACAATTCCAGTTGGCTATTAAAAGTTTTTCAGTCAGCTTGCATTATAATTTTATTCCTTTTTTTTTTTTTACTTTATTTTACTTATATTGTATTTTCTTTGTCAATACCTGACTTGCTGTGTCATGCTCATCTCATCTTATGGATTTTAATATTAAGTTCAGTCTTTTTTTTTTTTAATTCTTTTTTTTAAAAATATTTATTTATTTTTTAGTTTTCGGCGGAAATAACATCTTTGTTTGTATGTGGTGCTGAGGATCGAACCCAGGTCGCACGCATGCCAGGCGAGCGCACTACCGCTTGAGCCACATCCTCAGCCCATAAGTTCAGTCTTTCATTCAGTTCTTCTGATAGCTTATCCCATTTTCATCAGTTTGATTCTTTTTTTCACTGCAGTTTTGTTTTGAGTAAATATTTGCTTGATTTTCTTTTTGCCCAAATAATTTCTTTATCTTTTTCTTAATATGTTGACTGTAGTATTTAAGTATATTATCTAGCACAGTTTCATTTCTTCAGACCAGCCTTGCTTTGTTTATATAAAACTGTTTGACTGTTTTCTGACCCCGTTGTCAAGCAGTCAGTTTTATTTCAGTTGCAGATATTATCTAAACTTCAGTTATAAAGTGGTAAATTCAGAAGCTTTTTCCATAACTTACCCTTAGATTTTTTCTGAAATATTCTTAACTGGTCAGTAATATGTGACAGTGATTAAGATGTTTGCAAAATGAGAGAAGTGAGGCTACAATCATTGTGTCTATTTAATTCCGATCTGTTTATCTTAAGCAAGGGAACGAGTCTGTTTCCTGAGACTCTTCAGAGTATCAGCTTCACCTCTCTCACAGTTTTCTTTCAGAAGTCTCTGAATATTGTCTTGTTTCACAGATATTTTACCAGGTTCTATATTAAATAATATGTACCTATATCCCTTATAGTTGTTTGAACATAGTACCAGGATGACTTTGGTTCTAAGTAGCTTCCTACTTAGAGTACTTTCTATGGGAAAGACAAATTTAATGTGAACTGTAATTCCTGGAACTTAAATGCCGTGACTTAGAAGATTGTGGGTGTATTTGTGGTCATCCTGTATATTTTCTTAGAAAATGACCATATAAATTTTTATTTAAGATTTTTGAAGACAAAGGCTTAGACTCACTAAATTTATTGTGAACATAATTCAAGATTAGTTCTTATTACTGCTGCTCTAGCCTGCTGTCTTTTTTAAGCCCAAATAAAAGAAAGGTCTTTTCATTTAAAACTCCCTTCTTCTGTCCTTACCCTAGGTAAAATGAACAGATCTTAGAAGCAGGAGGCAACCCTACTAGAAGTGACATCTGCTTTATATGCAGTTTGATTTTAGCTCATAAAGGAATATTCCTTATTCTGAAGATTATAATTTGGGGGCTGGGGTTGTGGCTCAAGTGGTAGAGTGCTCGCCTAGCATGCATGAGGCACTGGGTTCAATCCTCAGCACCACATAAAAATTAATTGTAGATATTGTATCCACCTAAAACTAAAAAATAAACATTAAAAAAAGATTATAATTTTACTTTAATGAGTGCTACATATAAATAACTAGCCCAGCAAACTTATGATTTCCTGGATATAACTAAGTGAAGGCTTAAAAAAAGAATAAAGATGTTCAGAAAGGTATTCTTAGCAGTTTATAAGATTGTAAAAACCCTACATCTTTGAACAGTATGTCTAAAATCAACTAACCTGCTTTCCTTACAGTTTATTTCATTGATACAGTAATATCATAGTTACCCAACTTAAGAATTTTGAAAGATCTTTAATTACTTTTTTATTTTTTAAAACTATTTCTTTTTATTGAGGCCATTAGTTCTGCCTTTAAAATTGCTCTCAGGTTCATTTCTTTCATATCTTGTTCCAAGTCACCCTTCCTTCCAAGCCTGCCCTTCATAATGCCACCAGTGTCATCTTGAAATACAACTTAATTATGTTAGTCTGCTAAAAACACTTCCCAGGGCCTTTTTGTTACCATCTAAACTCCTTAACTCAGTATTCTAAGAGTTGTTTTAGAATTAAGTGAAATGCTTATTTCCCTTTTAAAAGAAATACTTAGCATATAAGAGGTACTCATTAAACATTTTATGGATAAATGAATAAACAAATCTAAATTCCCTTGTTTGTTATTTAAGGTTTCTACTAGCCAACTGCCTGGTAAATATGGGTATAAATTGGGCACCATGTAACTCAAAACAACTAAATTTAGTGTGTGTATGTGTGTAGTTAAGGTTAGCTTTCTAGCCATCTCTTTTCAGAAATAAGAACAGGAAAAAGAAAGAAATGGCTATATATCTCAGATCTTCTAATATTTGTCAAGCAGATATGATATGTCAAACATCTTGTACTTTTTTTTCCTTTTTTGAAGTGCTGGGAATTGAACCCAGGACCTCACATATTGTTAGGCATATGCTTTACCGCTTTCTAAATCCCCACCCTCTCAGCTCTTTTGTGTACTATCTTTACAGGATTTTGGAGCTTGCATTTCCTCATGAGGTCATTAATAGTACTTTCATGGTTCCTTGTGAGGTTAAAAGAAGTAAAAGTTAAATGAAGTGCTTTGAACTGCACTTAATAGATTGCAAGCACAAATATTGGGTGAATGAACGGTGGAACTGCAAGAATAATATATATTCAATTACAAGTATATGAAGTTGGCCCTTTTTTCTTTTTCAGATTCCAAATGGTAACTATTTCTGGATTTTTCCTGTCTTTCTATGCAACTTAATATATATTTTCTTGGATTACATCAAATTGGACCAATGCCAATATAGCATAGGTGTATTAGTAGTCCACTGCTGTGTAACAGAAATTATTCCAAAATACTGTGGCTTAAAATAACAAACATTTATTGTCTCACAATATTTGTGGGTTAAGAATCCAATCATAGCTTAGTTGGGTGCCTCAAGGTCTCTCAAAAATTAAGCTGTCAGGGGCTGTGGCTCAGTGACAGAGTACTTGCCTTGTACATGTGAGGCACTCCATCCTCAGCACCGCATAAAATAAATAAATAAGTAAAACAAAGGTATTATGTCCATGTTCATCTAAAAAAAAATTTTTTTTTAATTAAGCTGTCAGCCATAACTGCATTCTAATCTGGAAACCCAACTGGCAAACATCAGGATCTACTTCTAAGTTCACTAACATTTTTAACTGGCTTTGATTCCTTACCTGTGGGCCTTGCACAGGGTGACTTTATGACATGCATATTACCTATCGCTACTTGACAATACCACAAATTTATCAGCTTAAAATAACACACATTTGTGGAATAAGAATGTGCCCTGCTTAGTTGTGTCTTCTTGCTTCAGAGTCTCTCAGAGGCTGCCATCAAGATTTTAGCCAGCAATGATAACTGAAGACTCAATTGGGTCAGGCGTGTAATCCCAGCAGTTCAGGAGGCTGAGGCAAGGAGGGTTTCAAGTTAACAGCCAACCTCAGCAATTTAGCAAGGCTTTAAGCAACTTAGTGAGACCCTGTCTCTAAATAAAAATATTAAAAGGGCTGGGGATGTGGTTCAGTAGTTAAGAGCTTCTGAGTTCAATCCCCAGTAACAAAACAAAAAAAAAAAAGAAAAAAAAAGAAAGAAAGAAGGGAAGAATTTAAAAAAAAAAGGCTCAATTGGGAAGGGATCTCCTTCCAGGTTCACATGTTATTGGTAGAATTCAACCTGTTGAACTGAAGGCCTTATTACCATGTGGCCTCTCTAATATGACTTTTTTTTGTTTTTTTTAATCAGCAAAGGAGAGAGAGGGTCTGGTAGTTACCATCCCATCATCTTTGCTTTATTTTCTTGGTAAAAGTAAGTCACAAGGTAAACCCACACTCTAGGAGAAGGAACACACAAAGGTATGAACATAAGAAGTTAGGGGTGCTGGGGATATAGCTCACTTGGTAGAGTGCTTGCCTCACATGCACAAGGCCCTGGGTTCAATCCCCAGCACCAAAAAAAAAAAAAGTTGGTAATCATGGCATCCATCTGCCCCACATGGCAGCTAGTTTCCCCCAGATGAGCAATCCATGAAATGAACACCTAGGAGAGAAGCCACACAGTCTTTTTGTAAACCAGTGTAAAAAGCAATATCTATTACTTCTGCCATATTATATTTGTTAGAAATTAGTAAGTTTAGCCCACACTTATGAGGAAGGAATTTCAATCAGGACACAAATACTAGGAGGCATGTTAGAGTTTGTTTTGCTTTCTACAGTAGAGACTTCCTCTAAACCCTTCTTTCTAAACTAAATGCCTTGCAGGTATCAATCTGTCAGTGCGTTTTGTTGGTTAGGGTGGTTTGTCAGGGTTTTTTTTATTCATTGTATGGCTAGAACTCTAAGAAGGACAAATATTGAACATTGTGCATTACTAATTTAGAATATCGTTGAAAATAGTGCGATTTTTCCCCCCAACATGGTTTCTGCTTCCTTCATATATACATTACATGTATCAATTGAGAAAATGAGGAGTCTTTGAGTTGAAATTACCACATAACTATGAGATCCTGCTTTTTTGTCAACCTTACAAAAACTGATGTTTAGAACATTTAGAAGAAAAAATAGCATATCAATAACACAGCTTGCAAATTATATTAAATCATATCTAGCTAAATGCAAATCATATCTAGCTAAAAATGTAAAGACCCCTTTTATTTTGTGAACTATTCTTTTTTTCAAAAATGAGTTTTTCAAAATTGCCACTGTTTTAAAAGCTCTGCTGAAAACTTCCTTTGGGTGATTGGAAGTGAATTGCCCATTTTGTGCAATGGAGTAATTATTTCTTAAATGGCCACTTAGAAGCAATATAGTAAATTACTTCAAAGAATGAGTGATATAATGTATGATCACTGCACAGAGATGATCAGACTCATTATATAATCTTTCACTCTGATGATAAAAATCAGCAAAGCTCTAGGCCTAATTTGTCAGGTTTTTGAATGCTATATGCAAGTCTAAAGGAAGAAAAAAGCTATGGGTAAATTTGAGTTAGAGAAAGAGTATCTATAAAAGGATTTCTATTTTCCAAGGAAAGAGACATCAAAGGCTAATCTTGTAAACTAGTACATGAATATCACAGGGCCTACCTCTGGATGGAAAATAACAGGTTCAGCTTTCAGGAAATGTGGCTGAGATTTCATCCTGTGTATTCAGAACACTGCCACTGGGTGGTAGTAGAGTCACAGTTACTTTAGTCCACAAAAGTTTTAGGTAATTTTGAGCCAACTAATCATCTCCATCTACAGGGATAAATACCAAAAATTTTTAAAGACCACTCTTCTATGCAAAAAATAGACTGTGAGGCCCAGGGGTTGTTAAGTCTGAAAATTTATGAGAGTTTAAAAACCACCTACTCTCCTTTTTGTAAGCCAAATTGGAGTTTTTAATACAGCTTCTCTATGTTCTATAATCTAATTTAATACTTCATAGCTAAATCTCTCTCCTTTCTAAGGCAACCTATTCCTGAATTTACTATTTCTTAGCACTGGGAAGTTCTTTTGCCTAACATCTGCTTATCTAAGACTGCTAATTCCTTTTTCTGCATTCTGTTTAATTTTACCATGCACGTCTCCCTTTCCTTGCTATTCATTTCCTTTAACTGCTGGATACTAGGATCTTGAATGTCTCCACTTTCAATCTACTGATCCTACCTATATCTGGAGGCGAGCAGAAGATAGAATTTAACAATCAAAAAGAAATAACAGCAGTGTTCATTTTATATTTCTGAGATGCTTTTATTCTTCATCAACTAAAAGCCAATTAAGGAATATTTCAAGTAAGAAAAAGAGCTGTTAAAATTATCAAGGCGACATTTAAGAAAATTATCAGATCATGTTTATATAGGAAACAAAAGTTTAATTTGTATGGTAGTTATAGCAATGTAGACAAATGGAAGAGCTTTTGTCTTCTAAAGAGCTGTTAAGATTTAGCTACTATTTTTTTTTTTCATTTTTCAGATTACATTAGATGTTTTGGCTGATATGGGTCATGAAGAATTGAAAGAAATAGGCATCAATGCATATGGACACCGCCACAAATTAATCAAAGGAGTAGAAAGACTTTTAGGTGGACAGCAAGGTAAGCTATTCAGAAAATAATTTCAGATTAGTGATATAAGTTAAACGTCAGGGCTGGCACCAGCCCAGGCAGTCTGTCCACAGAGTCCATGCAATGTAATATTGGTACAGTACCTCTTGCCTTCCCATCTCAGTCATTTGCATTGTATTCTCACTGTCTTCAAAAATCTGAAAGTCATTCTCCTTTCTCTCTGTATACTTTATGTCCTAAATTTCTCTGCAATCTCTATACTTCTGTCTTTTCCCACTACTTTCACTTAACCACGCTCCCATCACTCTTCTGAACTGTCCCAACCACTCTCCAGCTTGTTACCAACCTTCACCTTTGCCTCCCTCCAGTACCTTCTCTACACTGTAACCAGAGGACTTTTCAAAATGAAGGTATGATCACATTATTCCATTCCTTTAAAACCCTTCAATAGGGTTTGTTGCTTTTAGAATAAAATCTGACACTTATAACCTAGCTGTTCATAATGTGACCTCTCTTTCTTATCTCTTAATGAACTTTTCTCCCTCCCTCATGACTGTCAGCTCAGTCTTTTCCCATTGTCCTTTGCTGTTACAGGCCTCTTATCTTTCTCTTTCTCTTTTTATATTTATTTGTTAAATATACTTTCACAGTAGGAAAGCAGAGGAAGAGAAATGAAACAACTTGAATTAGTTAATTTATAGAATTGATAAAAATTTAACAGTGGCATGAAACTAAGGAAGTTTTAAATTTGAGTCTTATTTATCTATATTTTAAATTATCCATGAAATTAACAAGGATAATGTATTATAAAGCTATTATAAGTGACCATTTCAAGCTCTCCCCAAAAAATTTTTAGAGGACAATTTTATATTTTAAATCTGCTACATTGCTATATTTAGAACCTGAATATTCATTGCTATATTCAGAGCCTAAATAGTATGGACTTAAGTTTTATATGTTAATTTTTCTCTCCTACAGGAACCAATCCTTATTTGACTTTTCACTGTGTAAATCAGGGAACTATTTTGCTAGATCTTGCTCCAGAAGATAAAGAATATCAGTCAGTAGAAGAAGAGGTAATGAACATTAAAAGTTTATAATTCTTTTTTCCTGAAACCTGTGATTAAACCTATTTTTCTAGGAGACATAAGATCATCTTGTATTGCTTTCTGGTCTCTTGATTATTATTTAGTATCCTTTAGCCAATGTAATAGAATATAGCAAAATTGAAATATGACTTTGGGTTAGGACCATGTCACATTGCTTTCATATCATAAACCTAGGTTGTTCAGGGTATGGGGCAGGTCTGTTATTTTATATTCCAGAGTTTTCCTTGAAACTCATGCAAGTAAGGCTCTTATTAGAACTATTTTCTTATATTAGAATACTACCTAAGATTGATGTGGAGTGACAGTCTTGCCTCATAGATGCGAATATCTTCTAATTTGTATTTTCATGCAGTTATAATATACAGAATTTTCATATATGCTTCAGACGTGTGCCACATAATTTTGAAGTGCATTTCATTCCTCCAGGCACAATTATTTTAAGCACCATAGTAAGGCTATTTCTGTGAACCTCCTGGTAGATAGAAGGCATAGATGATTCCCTCTCTTCAGAAAGTTTATGCCTCTCTTATTACTGATAATAAATGAAGTGCCTAATTCCATTATTGTAAATCAGCTGCCCAATTTCATTATTATGCAAATACTAAGCATAAAGCATATGTTTACATTTATTTGTTTGTTTTTTGTTTTTTTTTTTAATCAACGCTCATACAATTTCCATTCCCACGCTAGGAAATTACATTAGAGAACTCAAGAACATTACTCAAGAGAAGTCTTTCAGCTCATACTTAGTCACCATATCAAGAAAATATCACATCTTCTAGTGTTTTATTGCCTAATTATCCTTCCAGTAGTCAATTCAGATGATGTAAAATTTGTTGACTATCTTCCCAAAAGGAGCAGTGAATAGAGAATTCACTCTATGAATCAGTTCTGTCAGAAACTTTTTTTTTTTTTTTTTTGTATTTTTGTTGCTGTTGTTTTTGTTGTTTTTAATGCAGTGACGGAGATTGAGCCTGGCAAGTATCCATACAAAATAACTGTTTTACCTTTGAGCTACATCCCCAGCCCAAGACACTTGGGTTTTTAAAACGTTTTCTTTTTGATAATTACTTTTTGTTTGTAGAGTGGAAGAACAGAGAAACAAAAAATGCACAAATTTAATGTTTATGATTTCTCTCACCAGAAATACTTATCCATTAAGTTTGTTGACCAATTTATAGTGAACTCCTATTTATTAGTACCAGATATTAGACTTACCATATAGAAAATTGACATGTTGAAGACAACAGAAAGAATATCTTTAGAATTATACACTAGCATATTTTTACTGTTAATTATTTTTTTCTATAGATGCAGAGTACCATTCGAGAACACAGAGATGGTGGCAATGCTGGTGGCATTTTCAACAGATACAATGTCATTCGAGTAAGTTCAAAAACTTTTATGGTGTAAATTAGATTTTAAGGCTTGCCTAAAAATTCTTGACGATTAAAATTTTGCTTTAAAAACTCATATTTTCAAACTGTCAAAGATAATTACTTATACCCAGAGATAAAGTGTCATTGTCCTCAATACAATATAATCTCCAATCCCTTTGAGACACCCTGAAAGCATTAAAGCTGCAAGCAGAAAGCTGTATCAGTCTGAACTGATGACTCTTGTATGAATGTGCGTCTCCTAACTTATATGTAAATTCAGACCATAGCTGATGGTAATTTTTTTTTAATCATTTGAAAGTAGCATTTAAGGCTTAGATTGTCAATCTCCTTGAGTCAATGATACCAGAATACATATATCTCTTAATCTTAGTATCATAATTTAAAATATGGAATTAAGTAACTATTATTTACTTTTTTCAGAGGGGTATTATGAAGATGAATAAAATCTGTTGAGAATGAATTTAACTCCTTAAGTTATGGATCTGTGGAAATTATACTGGTACATGTCATAATTACCCAGCAAACTTTTTTAGAAACATGGATTTCTAGGCCCCTATCTTATAAAATTTATTAAGTCTAGGGAGGAACCTAGAAATAACCTTTTGAAGCAAGAACCTGGTGTGGTATGGAATAAGTAAAAACTTTTAACTAAAAATTTGTCACTAAAAGCTAGCACATTAACAGAATTCCACTGACATGGCAACTTTTTCCTTTGTTTATTTAGGTACCATAGATGGAACCCAGGGATGCTCTATCACTGAGCTACATTAAATTCCCGGCCATTTTTATTTTTTAATTTGTGTCAGGGTCTAACTAAGTTGCAGAGGCTGGCCTCAAACTCTGTCCTCCTGCCTCGGCCTCCCAAGTCGCTGGGCTTTACAGGTGTGCACCACCATGCCTGGCAACCTTATCTTTTTAAATAATGTCTTAAACAAATAGATCTAAAAAAAAATTTGATACCCCCATCTCTGGCTAAAGGAAAGCATAGTTTTCATTTTAAATCATAGACTTTTATTTTGCTAATAATTAGCTACTTTGTTCTTCATCCATAAAGATTCAGAAGGTTGTCAACAAGAAATTGAGGGAACGATTCTGTCACAGACAAAAAGAAGTATCTGAAGAGAATCACAACCATCACAATGAGCGCATGTTATTTCATGGTGAGTAGCATGCAATTATTATAGACATCCCTCTGGGCTTTTGCAAAATTAATAAAGTGAGAAAGTTACATGATTGACTATATTACAATTGTGTTAAAATTGCTTGTTTTGGTTTTCTTTTTTCAGCCCAAATGATTGTTTGTACTGGGTTTCTAATGCATTACATGTTAGTACAGGCTTTCCAAGGCATATGCAATGAAAATAATTTCTCAGATTATTTCAGAACTTCAGTTGAGCAAGTTGAGCCATCTAGTTATTTTTTGTTGTAATTTGTTACATGCAAATAGCATGTAAAATAGTCTGTTTTCATAGCCACATTGCACTTTGCTGTCTAAAAATCCCATGCCATCTGCAAAATCCATGTTAATTATACAATTCTAATACATTAAAATAACTTATAATAGGCCAAAATAAACTTTTCATGTATGCATTATTTCTTAATATTAACTCTCAGTTCAGATAGAATGAAGTTAATTGGAATTCCAGAAAAGTGCTCAAAGACTAATCTTTGTTTTTCTGTTTTTAGGTTCTCCATTCATTAATGCCATTATTCATAAAGGCTTTGATGAGCGTCATGCATATATAGGAGGAATGTTTGGAGCTGGGATTTATTTTGCTGAAAACTCCTCAAAAAGCAACCAGTATGTTTATGGGATTGGAGGAGGAACAGGCTGCCCCACACACAAAGACAGGTCATGTTATATATGTCATAGGTGAGCATCCTACCTATAGTGTAACGGTGGCTACCATCAACTAACCTGATTAGTTTTGGGGGCTCTGCAGAAGTCACGGGTTATCCTTGAATCTCACTTCTAATAAGTAAGGCTTAGCGGTGAGGTAAGAACAGCTGACCACCTTCTCCTCTAATAGGAGCAATGATGGCAAAGCTAATACCACGTAAAAACCAGATACATGTATACCAACCATGAATTGTAATGAACCTCCCTGCATCTGGGCTTTTCTCCCTGATGTTCACGTGCCTTTCTTCTTAATCAAGACAAGACTGAAAATGACTTCTACAGAACAAAGACACTCCAGTTCTCATCACATTTGAACTAAGACAACTTCTGTAAACAAGGAGGCTCTTTAATTTGCTTCTGAGCTTGCTAGTGAATTGTTCACATTAGGACAGGACATATAATTAACCTTGAAAAGTTCAACTTTAAAATATCAACTTTGCAATTAGTGACAGTCAAATGAACATCAGAATTTTAAATAGGATTTTAAAATTCAGAAGGTGGAGAGAATAATGGCTACTTCAGCTAGGAACAAAGCATGGTGCCCTCACTGAGAACAAATTCAGTGTGTGAAGTTTCAAGGAAGTAGCACAAACCATGTTTGATTTCCAGGTTCAACTCCATTCATCCCTGACTTCTCTGAAGTCAGTGAGGGAAAAAAAATGTTTCCCCTGATAATCAAAATACAAAAGAATCATACTTTACAAAGATCAGAATTTATTACATTTTTTAAACTAATCAAATTTATTTTTGCAGTCAGCTTCATGAGAAATATTTTTATTCAGTCAAGACCTTAAAAAAATTCATATATCCTTGAAATTCCTTATAGCAATTGATCTTAAAACTTATCTCTCTCAGCTATATTGTGAAAAAATTTCTAGTCATCAGTAGTTCTAAGACAGATGCCATATGGTCAGAAGGAAACTTCTTTCTTATAAGACCTCTCTGGTTAAGAACACACAAATTGCTAAGGATATATAGCATACAAAAGCTACATTGCTTCAAACATAACTCCTGTGGAGACAAAAGAAAAAACCTAAATAAGCAATCAAAGTGAACCTAGCCAAGTAGCACACCCCTATATTCCCAGTGACTCAAGAGGATGAGGGAGACTGAGGCAGGAGGATCACAGGTTTGAGGTCAACCTCAACAACTTTCTCAAAAATTCAAAAGGACTGGGGATATAGCTGTGTAGTAAAGCTCCCCTAGGTTCAGTCTCCATTACCAAAAAAAAAAAAAAAAAATGTGAACCTAGATGGGAATTAGCAATCACTCATTTAAGTGAGACACGTAAGTTTATGTCTTCGCCAGCATTTCTTCAAAAACAGCTTGAAACTAAAGCACATGACTAGTACTTCTTTGGCAAGTACAGTCACAAGTAACTGGGAACGAGGGCACAAAAGACAGGTAGAAAAAGAGGCAGAGAAAACAATGATGTGCATCTAGAAGCTAGGTCACCATCATTTCCTAACAAGTGCTATTGTTTGCTCAGCCCATGAGACATCTTCAGAGAAGCTGTAGGAATTATATTTTGTATTTCAGAATAGTAGTATATCAGTAGGGATGAATTTATCTACTGGCTCCTGTCTTGCATTGACCAACATTTGCCCCAGGGAATTAGTACCCCTACATTTTATCTACTGCATAATGTATCACAGTCTGCAAGTCATGCCAGGTGAGCAGACATGAGCTGGTACTCTCCATCTGCTCATCTTTAACCTGCAGTCTCATGGGCTGGCTAGGCAGGTCATGCATCTTCTATCCTCACCAGCCAACAGTAAAGCTTTGGGGCAGGAAGCAGAAAGCTAGAAGCCAGGACCTGTTTGGTCAAAAGGTGTGTTTCCCCAATCAATAGACAAGGATTCTCAGAACCTAATGACAATACATTACTGCCACTACTGTAGAGATAGAACTCAAAAAAAAAAAAAAAAAAAAACTGCCAATATAGAGCAAGACCTATTTCTCTGGGACCTAAAAGAGAATAGGTGGCACCCAACTAAAAAAGCAAGTTCAGGCAGGACTCAGTCATGCTAATAGACATTTTTAATTGGCTCAAAATATCTCTGGTCATAACACAAAGATCATACTTTATTACTAAAAGCAAATTATTTGAATAATAACTATTCACATTTAACTGTATGACTAATTGTATTAATTAGCTAAATTGTTTATCTCTCAGATTAGGGGTTGAATTTTTCTTTAAAGGGCTAGATAGTTATTATTTTTGCAGGTCATTTTTTCCCTGTCATAATGACTTAGCTCTCACTTGTAATGCAAAAGCAGCCGTAGACTCATTTGGAAACAAATGCATGGGTTTGTTCTATAAAATTGTATTTACAAAACAGGTGGCAGTCAGGAGAATTGGGTCCATGGGCTATAGTTATATAATTTTCTTTCTCATCAACCTTTCATACTTTTTGTGACATCTGCCCAAATTCATATTTACCCAAATAGTATGACTTCCAGCTGTACATTTAAGCCAAGTTTTTTTGTTAATGGTTCACTTTTATTAATACTATTTATCTTATCTCATTTTTTACTGTTTTCCCATAGTAAATAAATCTAATCTTAATTTCAGATGCTGTTTCCATTTTCTTGGTCTCTTTATATTCAACCTGTTTATTCATACAACACTCAGTTTCCTCTAGTATTTCCCGTTTCCCATTAGACACAACCTAATACCAGTTATTTTCTATGGGTGATTTCTGAGCCACACCAAAACTACTTTAAACTAGAACTATTAAGCCTGATAATTATTTATAATAAATTATATGTCATATCCCATACCATTCCTAGACCTAAAATTTGAAAGCGACATGCAAGTTAGCTTTGCTTGTGTTAAGATTTTTGTAAAAAATTCAAAACCAGGGCTGGGGTTGTGGCTGAGCAGTAGAACGCTTGCCTAGCACATGGGAGGCCCTGGGTTCAATCCTCATAAAAATAAATAAAATAAAGGTATTATGTCCAACTGCAACTAAAAAATAAATATCTAAAAAAATTCAAAACCAACATTTACAGCTTCCTTCAAAGCATTGCTTTCTCTTTTTATTTAGACAAATGCTTTTCTGTAGAGTGACCCTTGGAAAATCCTTTCTGCAATTCAGCACCATGAAGATGGCCCATGCCCCTCCAGGTCATCACTCAGTTATTGGGAGACCAAGTGTCAATGGGCTGGCATATGCTGAGTATGTTATATACAGAGGAGAACAGGTATGTTACTCATCAAATATGCATAATCAAAGTTACTAAACATGTCATTACAGAATATGAGACTTATTTATAAGACTTAAGAAAACCTTTTAATAAAATATACACCTCATTGGTACCATTTATCACTTCTCACTTCAGGCACAAAATAAAGATGTGATTCTTTGACATTAACTTTGCATCAGTTACCTGTCAGCCAGGTAATGGCTTTTTTTATATGAAAGACTGAAAGAAAAAGGACAGCTGAGAAATAAAATCTTAGGTCTCATGCTGCTCTTGATGGTAGCTGTTCTGAATTAATGTTCTATAGTGTTTGATGACCCAAGAAAGCAGTGAAGAGCTAAGAGCAGCTGCCATTTGATGGATCTTCTTCATGGGTGTACTTACCATGGCTGGTTATATGATTTGAACCTATAATTCTGATCATAGTACTGTAGCTTTCTCAGTCATAAAGCTGCAGTATATTTTATTTTGTCAACTGCTTGGGGCTCCGAAGTAAAATTGGAAAAAATACTTATGGAAATATATACTTAATTCAAACCTATCTTTAACTCTCACAGTACTGCTTCCAGTGTGTCTGAAAACAAAAATTTTATAATCTTTGTTGAATTTCAAATGAATCCCATGATGAAAAAAAAACTTATAGTATTGCTTACTGCTATTGCTTTCATCAGGCAGAGATAAGAAATTTATACACATATATGTCCACACAAACATATGTGCTTAAATGTAAATGAAACTGAGCCCAGGTCTTAATCTCTTATAAAATTCCCAACTAGAAGGAACAAAGCCTTCTTGAAGAAACAGGTAATTTAAGGGCTGAATTAGGTACAGGGTGGACCTTAGATATCTTGTTATGCCACTGCTCAAAAATAAATAAAACAAAACCATAGGGGCACATCACAAAGATACAGAAGCCAGCTTGAAGGAGCTCCCACTTGACAGTTAAACACCAAAATAAGTACAGTAATGAATTTTAAACTTTTGGGGGAAAAAATAGGAATTTATTATTCTGTTCTGATAATAAAGGATAAATAAATGAGGGAGGAAGGGAGGCTCTTGATCACAGTAGGATGTCAAGGACAAATGGATAGTTCTGGAGAGAATATTGGAGTTGGAAAAATTACCATTTTGAACCATTATATGACTGCTAAATTTAGGTGCTAATTTCAAAAGGAGAATATTTGTATCATCTTTTTATTACAGAGTTACAAAAGAGGGGGGAAACACTAATTGCACATTGAAGAAAGAGGACAGTGCCTTGAACAGATAATTAAAATTAACATGAGGGACAGATGGGCATATAGCATGTCTCCAGAGAGCTATCCTAAGAAGGGCACCAACGTCATCTATGCCATATTCAGGCCCAAAATATATAAGTCTAATCAAAATGAACGTTTTTTGTTTTTTTTTTCATGTGGAAAGATTGATTTTTCAAAACTGTCAGTATTACAAAAGAGTAAGACAAGAAATTTTCCAGATAAATGTGGCCCCTAAAATTTGTTGGTACTGGAAGTGAGAGGACACTATTAGATCAACTGATAAAACTGGAACAGTAGATAGAAAAAAGTATTTTATCAATGTGAAATTATAATGTTGATACAATACAAATTATCTATTTTTAGGAAAGACAAACTGGCATCATATTTATGAGTATATAACTTAAATGTTTCAGGAAAAAAAAAATAGGTGTGTGTGATTTTGTAGAAGGATGTACATGTATATATATCTAGATGGAGATGGGGGAGGTGAAAATTATAAAGCAAATGAGATGGATCTGGGTAAAAGTTATATAGGTGTGTGGGTACCATATTAACTTGCAATTTAAATTTGTAGTTGTTTCCAGATAAGTTTAGAAAAACAAACAAAAAATTTTCCATTTTTCTGTTTAAATTGCAAATTCCAGACTTGCAGAGAAAATGTTTTTACTTTGAATCAGTATTTATACTTGTGGAAATTTGTATTAGATATAATCAGTGATTGTCACACATAAGATTGTTGTTTATCATAATGAAAAAAATAACCTAAATATTCAGCAGAATAGGCACTGGGGTGTGGCTCAGTTATAGAACACTCACCTAGAATGTGTGAGGCACTGGGTTCAATCCTCGGCACTACATTAAAAAAATAAGTAAATAAAAATAAAGGTATTGTGTCCATCTACAACCAAAAAAAATGTTTTTAATTCAACAACATAGGTTAAATTTTAGTGTAATAATATGCCTGTTATTGCCTTGTATTGAGATTATAAGTGATTTGTTTTCTTTATCTTTCATTTCTAAATATATTAAAAGTTATCTATAGTAAACATTTATCTCTTCATTTGGATTGAAAGAAATAATAAGAAATGCTTAGAAAATAAAAGTAAGTTTACATGTCTGAAACAAATCATTCAACTATTTCCCAAGTAAAAGTTGACTTGGTAACTTTTAAAAGTCTGGCAATTTAGCTCAGTGGGATACCCCTCTGGGTTCAATCCCCAATAACCAACCTCCCCTCAACCAAAAAAAAAAAAAAAAGCAATTCTTAGTGTTCATTTTATTTCAGGGAAGGATACTCATTCTTCCACATCCAAGTATTCTTGCCTTCATGGATAGTGTTAATAAATGTAGTGTCTACTAATTGAACAGTTTCTGGTGAATGATTTTTTCTGACTTTATGCAATTTTCCTTTCCCAACTTTTATATCATTCTCCTTAGTTACAAAGTCATCTTTATTCTTAGTGTTTGACACTTTCAAGAACACATAGATGTTATTTTCAGAAGATTGATGTAAGGAATATTATTTATTAGCGGGATTATTTCCTTAGGATTTAAAAAAAATTGATAGGTAAGCTACACTTGAAAAGAATGGCTCTCATTATAACATACATTGAACTTAAAATATCAGGAGTATGTTTATGTGTTTTACACTTCACATTAGACATAAAGGAGAGAGATTCTCTCTTGGTTGCTACGGAGAGTTTGCCTGTTTTACTGAAATGGTCTGAAAAATGCAGAACATTTAACCTGGAGAAGAACAGACTATAGAATGGTTTTCCATTATACAGAATTACTCAAGAGTGTATGACAGTCCCTTCTTCATCACTATGAGAAATAAACAGAGCATTTGAGTTTAAATTTTAGCATTAGGAATTTGGATTAAGGAAAATGTCCTGAATGTGAATTAACCAGAGTGGTTGTTGACTTTTAGGAACATAAAACAAGAAAAAATTCTGTTTTTTATAACCAGCATGGACTTAAAGTAACTTAACAGGAAGTAATGTCCATCCTAGTCCCTTTTAGTCTTGTAGTTTAATGATTTCTTTCCTTTAAATCCCTTTGAACTTTGATATGACTAATTGGTGTCTTAACTGTACACAGAAACAATTCAATAACCTAATTAGTAGGAACAGTAGCACTCATTAATAAGGGCCTTGAAGTAATCAATGCCATTAGAATCTTAGAATCTGACAAAAGTTTACATATGTCAGAGATCATCTTAAACAGTGAGCTACCAAAATGTGTATATCAGTGTTCCTGACTTCTGTGTTTAAGCAGCTTATCTACAAGCATAAAAGAAGGCATCATACCAAGTATCAGAGGGAGTAAACTTCATTGGGACATAAGAACTAGGAACAAGCTTCATGCTCACTTTTAACATATAGTATGTGCTCCTCACCAACCTTAAGATTCTTTTCTTGACCATTAAACCATCTGATTAACTACTCCGTGTTTCCATTTTCTATAAGTATATGAGATTTGTTACATTCTTTACACTAAACTCTAGAATTAATAGTAAGCGTCTGACCCGGCTTGTTTTAGTACCTAAAAAACTAAAATGCATTAAAAGCATTTCAAGAATTAAGCAGTATGCAAATTATAATAAAGTAACATTACAGACTCTTCAGTTATTCAACTTAGAAAGTCAAGAGATAGTTGATCTTGATTATTCCAAAAAACATACTAATTGATGGATCATTGCGATTTTTAACTCAAACCAGAGCAGACTGAAATTTTGGAAAAGAACCCAATGAATGATAATGGCTCTATACATGCATATCAACTTTTTAAAATACATTTATGTTTATTTTCTTTTTAAAATACTAGCTGAGACATCTTAGGAGGCACATTTCTCTATGTTGAATGATAATGATGGTACTAACAGTAATAGTAATAAGCAACTCATTGAATTCTTACTATGACAGATCTATTGTAAGACCTTAGTATTTAGTCCTCATAAAAATCCAGGTATTATTACTGTTCACATTAATAGATGAGGAAAGCTAAGACATAGATGTGTAGTAATTTCTGTCACCTAGGATCAAAGTATACTAGTTATAAAGGATTCAAGCCAGGTACAGTGGCACACACTTATAATCCCAGCTACTCAGGAAGAAAGATCTTGAGTTCAGGGCCAACTGGAGCAACTTAAATATCCTCCCCAGCTTTTATAAAAAGAAAGAGCGACAAAAATTCAGTAACTCTATCACAAGGTTTTGTTTGTTTTTTTGTATTTTGCTTTTTAAATGTTAAAATTATTCAGTTTTTTTTTTTTTTTTTTAATCCCATGTCTGTATGCAAGTAATTTATAGGTCAGGATTCAACAAATTATTTTGGGACCCGAAAACATTTTGAGTACCAAGAAGTATTATTTTTCAGCCACAGGACACTCTGAAATACTAAGCCTAGTTTTACCTCATGTTTATATTTAGGGTTAAAGAATTTTGCATAGTAAACAAACTAAGGGGTTTTTTTTGTTCCTCCTTTCTTTCCAATAGCTATCTTCATAGTGATTTCTGGTTAAGATTTGTAATGTTTTCTCTGGTCAGCCTTCATTTTTCTGCTCCTATGGAGAAGTGCTCATCCCATTCCATTTATTGAACTTTGTTTTATTAATTGCAAGAATTTAAAAAAAGAAAAAAGAAGTGCTGGGGGCAGGGAGCAAGTCTAAATCTGAGCTATTATCTTTCCCAAATATGATGCATGTAATTTGTTTCTTAAAATGGTCCCCAAACTGTTTCCTCTAGGTTATGGGAGACTCAACACATTCACCCTTTCTCCTAGCTCAGAGGGTTGCATCATTTTCTATGATTAATCTGACTGAACTCAGTTGGGCAGAATTCTTCTTTCATTTAACAGACTTTTATTGACCACATACTATGTGACAGTACTGTGCTGTATAACAGATATTAGTGCTGCCTTGTGTAGTTGTTTTCCTGTTTATGGCATGTGACTCTGTAAGAAGGGATGAACAGAATGTAACTATAGTTTTTAAAGTAGAATTAGGGGATTGGAGGTATGGGTCAATGGTGAGCACTTGCCTAGCATGTGCAAGACCCTGGGTTTCATCCCCAGCACCACACACACACAAAAGCAGAAACAACATCCAGTTTTCTATATTGTGAGATTTATACGTCTATATACAAACAAGCAGGTGAACCTCCTCGTTGTTCAGACACCTGTTATAAGATTGGATTTTGTAGGGTTCTAGGTCTATGTAGAATATTGTTTACAATCAGTAACCTCTGAAGCTTCCACATTAAATAAGGCTTTACAATTGTACCTGTCAGAAGAATGAGTTGCTTTTCTTTTTGTCCATAACAGGCATACCCAGAGTATCTTATCACCTACCAGATCATGAAGCCAGAAGCTCCTTCACAGACCTCAACAGCCGCAGAGCAGAAGACCTAGTGAATGCCCACTGGTAAAGACCAAGTCGATTCAAACCTGGGACTGGATTACAGTGGATTATTTCCAACAACAACAAAAATCAATATTCTGTAAATCCCTGACAGCCTAGAAATAAGCTGTTTGTCTTTTATAAAGCATTGCTATAGTGATGAATATAGTATGAGTAACTGATACATACTCAACTGCTACTGTTCCCTTTGAGGAAATGTTTACAGGGGCGGCCTTTTAACATATCTCAGGCTCATTTCCATTGCAGTTATCCATTTCTAAAGCAAGGTCGCTTTGATCTACATTTGGAAATGGAAAAAAGAGAAGACGTACCAATATTGTTTCAAATGTTCACAACTTACACACTACATTTGCTTTGTTAGATATGGCATGTGGATATAGCAAATATGCACAGGCTCATTTTTAATTTTGTCCAAACACACATCATTGATGCTGGGGGTTTTGTTTATTTTGTTTGTTTTTTGGTTATTTTGAAAATGAGCCAGAGCCTTCCTGAGGATATTTTGCACAGAGTTATACTGACTAAAATCATTAACAGTGCAGCCCAAGCTTCTGGCTGAGCAAAATTCTATTTCCACATTTTGTGTTTGATTTTGTATCTGTACTTCTTGATAACAAAAATCAAGATGAAAAGGAAAAGCATCAAGTTTTAGTTTCCTTTAATGAATTGGCCCATCTGACAAGAGAGCTCCCAATTTGAGACAACGTCAAAGCTGGGGATGACTTCTTGCTCTTTCCAAAACAAGCCCCGCTGCAGGGTTGTTCAGGATAGTGCTGGAAATCCCAGGAGAGCATAGCCAGGGAAATGTTAGAGTGAGGGGATTATGACTTCAGTTCCCAGGTGAAATGACTGGAGAGGCTGGGGAGGAGGAGCAGCATTAAGAACAGAGAGGACCAAGTGATTCTCTATCATTGTAGCCCAGAAGGAGCGACAGGACTCCTCAGAGAATAAATAAATATTCCCTTCACTTAATCTGTACCACCAGAATTGTCGCCCCCAAAATTAGCTGCCTTATTTCCAAAGTCAATGGAATTTTACTTCATTAGAGTCCCAAAAATTATTTCTTTATTGTCTCTTTAGTTTAGAAAGATCCTATGTAGTAAATAGATGTACACAAATGCAAGAACTTTTTTTTACTCCAGATTTATTTTGAGTGGCATGCCTCAAATAGTTTATAAAGATCCCTGCACTAAATTTTTGAATCATTGCTTCAAACTTCTTAATATATTTAGACAAGGAAAACAAAAATTGAAACCAAAGCCTTTCAGTTATTTTTTTAAATGAAGATGGTAAAGAAGTACCATACTGTTTTCTTTGTGAAAGTACTGCTTGTTTTAATCAACAGTTGCCAAGTGCACATTGACACAAAAAATTATCTCCTACAGTTCTTACATTGCCCTGTTCACCTTAATTTTCAAAAAGAAACTGCGTGCATTGTTTTATTTACTTGACATGCTGTACATCTACTCAGCTCTGAAGCAAAAGAAGCATAAACATGGTGGGAAAATAGGAAAAACGGTATGACACAAACTTGCCATTTCAATTTAACGTCCTAAAAACTAATCTGGGTTTGTTGTTGTTATTTTAATGCAGGCTGATGAAGCTGTGACCTCCTTTAATCTCCAGAAGTGAAATAAAATGGTTACATGCAAAAATTCTAGAAATAGGTCTTGATATACACATTTTGCTCTCTCTCTTTCCTTTTTTTTTCTTCTTTTTTTTTTTTTTTTTTTTTTTTTTTTTTCCTGCTTGAGTACAATGCTAGAACTAAGCATCCACAGAGTAGTTTAAATTTTGTAGCTGAATCTTGCATGGGTCCTCAAAATTAAATTAAGAATATTAACCTCAGTTGTTGCTTCTACTGAAGTTTCAGACCCAGGCTGGGTGTTTGTGTCTTGGCTACATGTTTAGTAGCACTAGAAGTCCATATAAAGCTTCCAAAATTGATACTAAGAGGGTTTTTTTTTTCTTCCTTCCCTTCTCTTTTGCTGTGTGTAACAAGGGGTTGAAGAAATTGCCATCTGTGTGGTTTTCAGTAGTCGTGAAGTGTGCATTACTTGCCCCATCCCCTGGCATAGTTTTAAATGGTAAAAACAGCTGTGATTTTTAGTTACGTAAAAGAATTAATATGATATAGATATGGAAAACTTAATAGCTTCATTAAAAAGATAAACCACTACCCAACTGTGGTTATATGTTGTGTTGTTTCCATCACACTGACCAGATTAACGGATGTTCCAGTTTTAAACTTGAGCCTTACACTTGGGAAAGTGAACTGTGGTTCATTATTTAAACTGCCGGTGTTACATGTCTGATGTTTTGTGTACTGAGAAAAGATGCTGTGTAGTGGGGGGTGTTTGCAGTGCCTCTGGTCTTGTAATCATTCAAGTATGCAGTAGTTTTTGAAAGAATATTCTTATATTTTCTGCTGAAGAATGTGGGTTAAGGGAGGTATCACAAGAACCAAGACATTTTTTCAAAACTTGAAAACCAAGCGTCATCATGAGTATGCTCAAAAGTTGGCAAAAATTTATTACATTTGGAAATTACTTTTTCAGAGTAGTAAGAAGAACCTCTGGCATTAAATTAAGCTGAAATGTATTTAATTTCTTGTGTCTGCAATATATAGAAATACTAGCAAGATCGGGACTTCCCTAAAATGATGTGTTTCTCAAACGAAATGGAAGAGAGAATCTGAACATCTCCACCAGTTTTACCACAGCTGTAAATCAAAGGGGTTCTGTCTAGACCTGATGGTTCCAGTTTACCAGGTTTTGGCCAACTGGATACATAGCTATAAATTAAGTGTCCTAGACACTTTTCTCCTTGTACTTGACCTTCAGTTTTCCCCAGATTGCTAGTCAAGAATTTAAAATAGCTCCAAACATTGCCTTTGATCTCACTCAGTGTCCTTCTTTCTTCATCTTAGAAAAGAAATCTAGGTACTTCTCCATTTTCATATCAAACCAGAACTTGGAGGCCTCATGCACTCTCCTCAGAAGATTCTAACCGAATGACAGCATGGAACCCAGAGTTTAATTCTATGCAAAATTACAACAGTACAACCAAGATTCTTATTTTCCTTTTCATTCTTGGAACTTAGAATTCCTAGCTTTTCAAGCAGCATAAGTAGAATAAACAATACCAATGTCTTCATGAAACGGCATCCTTGTGCATCATTGAGCTTGATGTTAGCCATGTCCCCTTGCTCTCAAAATAGCAAAGTACATTAGAATATACAGAGAAATGCCTGAATGTGACAAGCAAAAAAAGTAATATAGATTAACATTCTATCACAGATATTATACAAAAAAATAAAATTTTGGTTAACACTAGAAAACAACATAAGAATGCAAGAAGTTGTCTAGGTTTTTCTCTATTGCAGTATATTTCCCTATTGCACGAAGGATTATTGGATATTGCTCCCCCCACCCTTTTCAAACATGTGCACTGTCTGGATTCCTATAAATGGCCTTGCAAACAGAAATGGTGTATTTTTAATCACTTTTCCCCAGTGTGTTCACATCCCGTTAGTGTGATAGCTATGATAACAGCCTTCTTACTGTGTTTTCTGTCAGCCTAATTATCTTGTGTAGAGTTTTAGACTTTAGTCATTCAGCTTATATTCAAAACCAACATTAAAATAGGGTTTTACATGTCAGAAATTTATTTAAAGGCTGAAATTAATTTTGTTTGATGTCAAATCAATGACAAAAAAATGAAAGTAATGTTTGAGCTATCATTTGACACATCTAGCATATGACAACGTAATGCATTCAAAAAAATACCATCCTAAAAAGTGAGGTTTCTTCAAGCAACTCATGCATTCTGCATTTAATAGACAAGTAAATATTTCTAAATAAGAAAGCCTTAACTGTGGCAGAAACTTTTTAACCTTTTATATTCTAATAAATGTTGAAAAGTGTACATGAGTCAGGCATATCTCCATGTATTTCATATCTGTTAAGCTTATTTCACAAGGGTCTATTTCATAAGTAATACTCCCTCACCTACAGTGGGGCTGACATAATAGTCCATTCCAATGTGTCCGCATCTGAAATTCATCAGCTACCAGACCTTACAGTTTGGAGAAATGCTAGAAAGACTTCATTTAAAGCCTGTTAAGTTGATATATAATAACTTAATATCTTGAAGAATTTGAATGATATGAAGTTGTTTTTTAATCATTTTAAAATATAAACTATGTTGTATTACACTGAAAACCTTTCAGAGGCTGAAAATTTTATATATTCTGTAAGACCCAATATTGTTATGCTGTGACCAGCTTTAGTCTTCTGCCTAGAGTTTGGCCTCCTATGAAATGACACACTGGAGAAGATGCATTTTGACTCTTCATTCTTTCTCTTTTCACATTGCCACATCTACCTACCACCATCCTTTCAAAGAGTTTTCTTTATCTGTATACTCATTTCCATATACAGCAACGAATGCCCTTGGTTGATTCAGAGCTTTGCAGAGAACTGCAGTTAAACATTGTAGTGGGATGTAACCCACACACCCTCTCACCTCTCCACCTCACACCCTCTCACCTCTCCCAAAGTTCTGGATGAAAAACTAGAAAACACCTCAGTGAAGTTAAGTAGTAGCCTAGATCCAGAAAATGACCTTGACCATATAACCATTGTGTTCATTACATAGAACACTTAATGTGCATATGATACCTGCTTCTGCTCCCATTGGTTTAAGCTTATCTTTGTGGTAGTAATATTTGTCTTTGTCACCTACAAAACTGAAAAGGTACTTTGATCAACAAGGTTTCTCAAAAACATTTACAAAACCAGCTTGGAGGAAATTAGAGTGTTTCCTGGCAGCAGCATTTGGAGTAGTAATTGTATTTCTCATTGTGATGTTTGTCTGTGTAAGTAACCAATGTAGTGACCCTTTGGTTTGTTATTGGTGTTGTTTTTATTTTTAGTCTGTGACCCACCAGTGGCAGGTGGTTCCAACCCCTGCTTCTTTCTTTTTACATTTGTCTATTTGTAGGATTGCCAGATAAAACTCAAGATGCCCAGTTAAATTTGAATTTCAGACAATTTTTTAGCTTAAGTACATTTCATGCAAAATTTGGCATACCCTTATCATTAAAAAAAAAAAGAGAACTATTCAATGTTTATGTGAAATTCAAATTTAATTGAACACCTGGATTTTGTCTTTTTCTAAATCTGGCAATTCTACTGAATTAGTCATGGAAAACCACTTACAGCATGTAAATTCTTCTAGTCTTCATTATCGTTTGCCTGGAATAGAAGACCTTTTTTCTCTCACCCTCTATTTATTTCCAAAAGAGGGCATCAAGGAACTTTACCTGCCTCCATGGTAGGTTTCTATTTAAAACACATTTGTGATCATATTTAACCTGTAATTGTGCTTTGGCTTAACGTCTAACTTACAGTACTTGTAATTGATTAATATTCAATAAAAACATTTGTAAAGTATACTATGTGTAGATAACAGCTCTTAAGTATTTTCCTTTCATTTCATTCTGACCAACCCCACACAAATGACCTGAAACCATGGAATTCACATAGCCACACTCCTTCTGTTTTCCTAGTAAGATCTGGGTTTGAGGTGCCTTATCCTCACTTTAGCCAGTGTGGGAGTTTACGAAAGTATAGCAATGGCAAGAGAAACATGGGTTCTTTCAAGAAACATCTCTTAAAAGGCAGTGAACCAGAGTCAGAGCTCACACCAGTTCGAAGGGCAGCTCATAGGACCTCTTGGTTGGACTTCTCAGAGGCTCCCTCTGTCCACCTCTCACATTGGAGAAGGGAAGGGAAAGAAAACCAACTTAAGTCATGGTAAATATTAAAGACCTAACACAGTGCCTGGCATAGAGAATGGGGGAATTTTACCATTTCTTCCCCCATCATTTCTCCTTACTTGGATCTCCAAGTTCTTTCTTTTTTTTTTTTTCCCCCTGAGCCACATCCCCAGCCTTCTTTGGTTTTTATTTTGAGACGGGCTTATCTCAAAATACTTTCCCCTATCAGACCCAGCATTGTTACTATGTACCAACCTCTGACCATGTGTAGAGTCTCAGTATGTAGAAATGTAAACAAAAAGAGTTGATGCCATTATGTGATTTTATGTCACCAGTGTCTCATGAGATCAAATTCTAAACGCTTTTAGACTCAGGTGCTCTGCTTTGATTATCCTGTTAGAAAACTAGAATATCTGAATTGTGCACAGAAAGCAAGTGGACTTTAAAATAACAGAATTTCAACAGCTTGGTTTTGCTTGATGATACAGAAATATCTGATTTTACAACTCAAAACCACAGTGGGTGGTTACTTAGCTAAAGGGCAGAGGCAGAAGGCTACAAATCACTTGCTAGATAGGATTTATTTTTCTTGCAAATAATTTTATTTAAAAATAAATCCAATCAATATAAAGGGATGGGTGTTTCTTAGGCAGCAAATTTTAAAGAACTGTTTTTTAATTCCATTGCCTATAGTGCTTGGGTTCTTGGGACACATCTCAGAGTAGAGGCAGTATACCCCATTTATAGCACAGTAAACCTTTATCTTTTGGTTTGGCTCACTCTTCCTCATTTTATAATCCTAAAGAGCTCAAAAGACTTCCGTGTTAAAGGCACCTGATTCTACATTGGAAATAATAAAAGAGATAATCTCCTCCCATCCAGTTAGGACCTCACTGCCAGGGTTTCTGATTGGCATCTGCTCTGAAGGTCTGGACATAGGAAAAGGAAGTAGAAAGGGTGTATGTCTTCATTTTGGCCAATTTCCACCATAAAACTGCTTCAAATATGGTAGTAGGTCACATGTTGATTTTGTTAATTGGATTCTTTACATACTTTTCCTGGCTAAGGACTTATTTATAAAGTAAATCTGTTTACGTTCATAATTTTGCTTACAAGTCAAAAGTAATAAAAGTAAGGTAACAGTGGATGGAATCATTGAGGGCATGGAGAGGCCAAAGTTGTCAGGAAACCAGTGTCTGCTGCATACCCCTAGGTTCCTTCATAACTCCAAGAGTGCTCTATGCCTCTACTTTCGTGTTCACTAAACAGGAATACTATCTGCCAAATAGTTTGGAAGATATCAAAGTTAGACAAATCAAATGCTTTTGAGGTGCTAGGAGAAAATGAAAGCACAATGAATGTAGATGACTAGATAAGTCTGTTAGTGCAGCTAATTTGTTGAAACACTATTTGGATTAAATAAGACCCCAGTCTCCACTTGCTAGCCATAGAACCAGTGGGCAGTTTCCTCCCAGTGCCTGTTTCCTCCTCTTTAAAAATGAGTACACTTATTACTATGTTTCATAGTCTCTGAGAAATTGTCTAAATTTACAGCAAGTGGGTTTTGGTTTTGGTTTTGTAATCCAAAATCTGACTCCATTGTCCTTCCCATTCCCAAAGAGAAAGCACATGGTTGGCCAGAAAGGGGATTAGAAGAAATAAAATCTGCATAATTGGCTTAGACCCCTTGAAGAGTTTTCTGCTGGATTGAAGCCCAGGGTGCTGCAGAGTAGAACCGGAAGTCCAAAATCAGATCTAAAGTTTTGGTTGCTCCCTATGGATGCGGTAATGAGAATGGAGAGTTTTATAGGAATTTACATTTGGAATATCGTCTATTATCAATGATCACAGTACAATGCATTTACCCAAATACTCGGAAAGGAAAACCTAAAACAAGATCTGGATTAGACTTTGGAAGACTACCACAGACCCAAGGCAAATGTAGGGGAAGGAGTTGGGAGAAGGAGTTGTTGAGTTGAATCTGATTCCATCATTACCATCTAATAGTGTTATCTCATGGTGATAGCCAGGAGTGAGAGAAAGGCAAAAGATTTCTTCAACAATTGTTTTAATTGAACTCTTCCAAACTAGTTAATCGTGATGAATGTTATTTTTATTGTCAACTATTATTGTTTAGCTACCTGTGTGTGTCTGACCTCTCTCTAATCAGATGGTTCTTTTTTTTTAAATGGCCCAGGCCATTGGATCCCCAATATAGCCTTTCGCAGTGCCCTGAACATTGGTTCTATTTCCAGAATGCACTTGAGTAAACTAGCATATTGGCAGATCAATCTTTAATAAAGGGTGTATAGATGAGTCCTGGTAAATCACTCTAAGCTGGTCACATATTATAGGATGAAGATGTAAATGGAGAATAACGCATAGACTGAAAATTAGAATGAGTCTTCAGAGATCATCTGGTCTAGCTGCATTATTTTATTGATGAACATACAAGAATGTGAACGAGAGTAATGAGAGGAGTATGTGTGAAGATGCTATGGGCTGGGAAAGGGCAAGAGGAACCCTGCTAGGTCCTGGAAATATTCCATATCTTGTTCTGGATAGTGGCTACATAAGTGTATACATACATAAAATTCCTTGAGCTCTACATTTAAAATTTGCACATATAATTGAGGTTATACCTCAGTTTTTTAAAAAGGGGGATATAAAAAGTAGATTGGAATCTGTACTTGTGTAAGTGAGACTTAATAACTTTGACTTACGTGGGCTATTCATGGGAAAGTACCTTCTGTTGATGTATTTTGGTAGTATATTTTGTGCATATCAACAACCTGATTACAAAGTTTATATAGAAAGGAAAAAGACCCAGAATATCCTACACAATGTTAAAGAACAAAGTTGGAAGACAGATACTACCTAACTCTAATATTTATTATAAAGCCATGGTAATCAAGATGGTATGGTACTGGTGAAGGAATAGTCAGTCAGATGAGTGGAACAGAGTCGAAGGCCCAGCAATAAACCCACATAATCAACTGATCTTTGACCAAACAGCAAAGGCAATACAGGGGACGGAACGACTAGCCAACCACAGGCCAAAAAAAAAAAAGAATCTAGGGATAGACTTTATGTCCTTTACCAAAACTAAAATGGTAGCAGATCTAAATGTAAAACATAAAACAAACTCCTGGAAGATAACCAAGAAAATAAGAAGACTTTGGCTTATGGCCATCACTTTTTTTAGCTAAACACCAAAGGTATGTGTGAAAGAAAGGATTGATAAGCTTCATTAAAATTTAAAACTTTTGCTGTGTGAACAACATTGTCAAGTGAAAGAGAAGACAAGCCACATGTTGGAAGAAAGTATTTGCAAAAGTTACATCTGTTAAACAGCTAACCCAAAATAGAAAACTCATAAAAACTCAACAGGAAAATGAAAAAAAATGATCAAAAAATAGACAAAAGGTCATACTAGACACCACTCTAAAGATATATAGATGTCCAATAATCATGAAAATTTGTTCATCATCATGTATCATCAGAAAAATGCAAATTAAATATATGGAGACAGAAGTTCAGAGATGTGAATAAGCATAGCACAGAAGATTTTTAAGACAGCGAAACTGCTCTGTTTGTTACAGTGGATACATATTGTTATACAAATGTCAAAACCCATAGAATGTACACCAAAAGTGATCCCTGATATAAACTATGGACAGTGGGCAATGTGGATGTCATCAGCTGTAACAAATGTGCTGCTATAGTGGGGAATGTTGACTGGTGGGAAAGAGAGGTATATGGGAATTCTATGTACTTCCTGCTCAATTTTGCTATATTTCTAAGAGTGCCCCTTTTAAAAATGTGTTTTTTAAAGAGAGACGCGAAGAATAGAAAAGGCCATGCTTTGTGCAGCTGTGGAGAACCTTCCCTGACCACCTACTAAAAGCCCAGGCTGCATTCTGATGTACAGTGTAGCTCAGGTGCTCATCTCTGAACCTTGCCCTGTGGCTAAGTGGGTGGGATTATGTTGTTTAATTTAGGCCTGACTCAGGGGCTTCCCCTGAAGCATGTGGAAGAATGGGTATACCCATGAATCAAATGGGGTGCTATTATTGAAGGATGAGAATTGATCTGTGCTGAACAGCAGAAACAGCAAGGGAACATTATGATGAGTGACCCCTTAATAAATTCAGTAGCTTCCCCCAGAACTCCCATATTACAGTGAGTGGGGAGCCAGTTTCCTAGTTACTGCTCTGATCAGACAGATGTCCTGCTGTCACAAGTGACCTGAGCTCCATTTTCAGGTTATCCTGGCTCCTTTCTCTGCTGTCACCAGGAGATTCCAGAACACAAGTGGGAACTTTGCCAATTCCGGAAGAGAAAGTATATGCCACTTAACATGTAAATCCTGGGGTGGGCTGGAAGAAATCCTTTAGAGAATGAACAGTTATGAAACCCTCAATATCAAAGGTGATAGCTCTCTCCAAAGTTTTCTCCTCCAGGAGGTACGTGGGGAAATTGACCACTTTGCCTGTTTCTAATCTTTGTCTCTGCCTTTGCCTGTCCTCCTAGCCCCTCACTACTAACCCTCCCATGAAAGGGAGACACTGGCCCAGCTGGTTAGAACTGAGGACATCCATTGGCTCATTGAATTACATTTTTTTTCATCAGGTGGGGTTCCTGTACTTCGAAATGACCTCGTATCTCCTCTTCTT